GTTTGTAAAGTATTCATATTAAAAACTTACCAATCATGAATTTTTAATAACATGTATATGTTTATTCATGTCATTATTATACTTAAAACTAATATTGCACAAAACAACTTATAAACTCTACTCAAAGCAAACAAATTAAATAATCAAAATGGCGGATTGTGTCAGCGCTACTGAAGTTAGTAAACGTGTCCTAGCCGAAAACTGTTTAGTTTCGCCATTTTGCTTACAAGCGCTGGCTAGCGCTTTTTTCTGCTAAACGCACCCTCTTGTCTACGGTTTGTTCCCTTGTCATTGTTGTTGTCATTTTTTTATGTTGTGTTGATTGCAGTGAAGGTTTTAAAATGTTTACTTTGCGACTTTGTGGCAGCTATAAGACAATTTAAATAAGTGGAGCACATATTTATGCATCATGTATTCTAACTGGCGAGTCAAGGAACTGAAAGACGAATTGAAAAAACGCTATGCTTCCTTACGAGGAAAAAAAGCGAACCTCATTGGAAGGTATTTAGTTTTGTTCCGTTATTCATCAATCACGCCTTAATCGAAGTTTATAGTGGTTGTAGATCGAAGGCCGCTATTCAAAGTAACATTCTTATACATAATGACTTTGTAAATGTAAAGATTTCGTGGTATTTTCAGGTTAGAGCTTTATGACCAAAACTTTAATTTTGGTCGATCGACGAACCTAAAATGGAGCTACCATCAAAAGAATCTTATCGAGATATAAACAGTCATAAGATTCTGCCACCTTTGGACAAGGTGATAAGGCATTATCTATGTTAGTAAGTAAAGATAAAAGTTAAATGTTAACAATAAAATTTCTTTCCATACTTTTATTTAACCAAGTAAGTGTATAATTCTTTGTTTTCTAGCACAGACAAAAATAGCAATGGCTACACAGCTATATGAAACACGGCACTTATTGATGGCAAGAACTTCTGTTGTTGGTCAAAATACTATTATAAAAGGTCAGAAAAACAATGAAGAATCTGCAGTATGAAGTAGATGTAAAATTAAATAAAAGTGGAAATCCTGAAGCGTCACATTGTGAATGCCCAGCTGGATATGGAATAAATGCAGTATGCAAACATGTTGCAGTCCTTTTACTAGGCATTGAGAACACGGTTAATCAAAAATTCTTTTGCTTCAAAAAGTATGCACTCAAAAACTGCAGCAGTTTCGTGTTCTAAGAAAACCTTATAAGAAAAAAAGTGTCGCAAGAAAAATAAACAATTTAATTTTTGAGCCATACCCATTAAAAATATGGACATAGAAAATTATAATAGGATAAAAAATATAATATTAAATTTTCCACATACCAGGACGCCAATTAAACAACTTTATGAACCAGCAAACCCATATGCATTAGGGTTTTAACTGTGGAAACTTTATTGTTTAATGTAAGAATAATATGTGTTATGTAATAGACTAAAATTATGTATGTTTCCCTGGAAGATAAAATAAATAAAGAAATCAATATACTGAAATAATTCCAGAGCAGAAACTTTAAATGATTTAAAATTGTTTTCAATCACTCAAGAAGAAATTAATATACGAAATATTACCATTGGCCAAAATGTCAATGAAAATGTCAAAATGCCAAGTAAGGCTTACTGCAAGCAACTTTCATACCATTTGTCACCTTAAGTCAAGTACAATGTGTAAATTTGCCAAAGAAATATTAAATAGAAAACCATTTATGACAAGAGCAACAAGCCATATAATTAACGAACCAACAGCTCTTATCAAATATGCAGCTGAATACAATCTCACAGTAGAACCAAGTGGTATTTTTATTAGTTTAGAAAGACCATATCTTACTGCTTCTTCTTGAACAAGAAACAATTATAGAAATCAAGTGTTCCCATGCAAGCCGAAACCAAGAAAAAAATACCAATACAGTTCCCTATTTAGAAAAAAATAATCACACTTTAACATTAAAAAAAACTAGCCCATACTATTTCCAAATTCAAGGACAGTTGTACTGTTCAGACAGAACATACTGTAAACTTATTATATACACCTACAGGGATTTGAAAGTAATTTATAATGAAAGATAATTATTTTATAAATTCAGTGTTATTAAAACTAGTTCTTTTTATCCTATATTTATTAAAAAAATTATTATTTGAAAATATTATATATATATATATATATATATATATATATATATATTTTTTTTTTAATATTTTCAACTATTATGAGAACTTAGGAAAAAAATAAAACACATTGGTATGAAATGAAATGAATGATTTTAATTAAATATAGATTATTGTATAATACTTATTGAGTCATTTTTTTATTTACCACTAGTTCAAAAAAAACCTCTGTCCTGGGAAGAACCAGCAAGAAATCCAGCGGGACGTTTTTTTTAAACATATTTCAATTTACAATAAATTTATATCATACATAAATATATCAATATATCATATCATACATAAGTATATAAAGGAAGAAGGTCGCAGCAGGACTGTAAAAACTACCGTGGCATCAGCCTTCTTAGCATTGTGGGAAAACTGTATGCTAAGGTACTGATTGAAAGGGTCATGAAAGAAACTGATGGAAAAATTTGGGATGTGTAAGCGGGATTTAGAAAGGTAATGGGATGTACAGATCAAGTCTTTTCCATGCGCATGATCGCGGAGAAGTTTCTGGCCAAAAACCAAAAGGTTTTTTGTGCGTTCATGGACTTGGAAAAGGCCTATGACAGAGTGGATAGGGATTTGCTATGGCAAACACTGAACTCATTTGGGTTGAGCGCTGGCTTGATACAGGCATTGGAGTCTCTTTATAGGGACTCTAGTGCTTGTGTTAGGATCAACGGGGTCTACTCGGACTGGTTTGACATCCATAAAGGTGTCAGACAGGGCTGTGTGGCTTCCCCGTGGCTGTTCAACCTATTTATGTACAGTTGTTTGCAAAATTTGAAAGTTGAAGAATGCGGATTAAGAATGGGTGAGTTAACCATCAAATGCCTTTTGTATGCCGATGATCAAGTTATTCTTGCGTCGTCGGCGGCCGAGTTGCAAATGATGGTTACATTAATGAACGGATCATTAAAAGAAAGGGGTATGAAAGTGAACGCAAGTAAGACGAAGGTTATGGTTTTTGAAAGAGAAGAAAGTAAAACGATTTGTGAAATAAGAATAGAAGGGGAGTTGATCGAGCAAGTAGATGAGTTTGTATATTTGGGCTGCGTATTTAGCAGGGATGGGAGATATGATAAGGATATAGAACGACAAGTGAATGCGGGAAATAGAGTAAATGGGGCCTTGCACTCTATTGTGAAGAGTCAAAATGTGTCGAAAAAGGCACATATGGCAATTCACAATGCTGTGTTGGTCCCTACTTTAATGTATGGTAGTGAAAGTTGGGTGTGGCAGAAGAAGCACGAGAGTAGAATAAACGCAGTAGAAATGCGGTCATTAAGGAGTATGTTAGGGCTGAATCTGAATGACAGGGTAAGAAATTGTGTAATAGGAGAAGAGTGTGGTTTGCAAGATGATGTTGTGACCAGGATTAAGAAAGGAATGCTTCGGTGGTTTGGTCATGTGGAAAGAAGGATAATATTTTTTAAAATTATCAGGCTAAACTTACTAAATTGTGATTAGGCCAAATGTCTATTAAGCTCCAGATATCGTTAACAAAATTTATCCATGTCACTATAACATTTGACACTTCAGCTTTACTTACACTAAACATTTTACCTAACTCAAAATCTGTTGTATTTCTTCTAAGCTTAATTAATAGCATTAGAAACTGATCCTTTACCGTTAAGCAAACAACTCTACTCCAACAGTACTTAATATCATGTGCCATAGGCAAAAGAGTACTGATAATTAAATAAAATTTTTCTAATGTGTCCAACCCAGTATAAAAATGCACTGTCTCGTCGTCTGCAAGTAATAGCTCTGTAGAGAACAATCTTAATATATTGGATGTTTGTGTACTACAAGTGTTGTGGTTTGGCATAACAGACATGTATTGGAGAAGAACTATGTTCAATCAGAAGCTCTTGAGATACACTGCAGTCTTGAGGCACACCAATATCTACTTCAAGTGGCAATATATCATCTTCACAATGTTGTGTACTTGGAAGGCACGTCAAAAAGCTCTTTTCATGAGGTTGCGATGTACCAATCTTTCTTCTCTAGCCTTCGCGTTCTCAGGAATTGGTTGCGTATTTCAAGGAAAAACAGATGGTATAGTCCCTTTCTTCAAGAGTTTATGTAGGTGTTTAACTCCTAGAACAAGACGTGAGTTTTAAACATTGCAAATTACATAGGGAGATATGGCCAGGTACGAAATGTTATGGAGTGTAGGGATGATTGAAAAGATAATAGTCAAAACTTTACTTTAAGATCAGCTTACCTGCCTGTGTATTTGCTTGTTATTTCATAATTTTCATAATCACTTTCATAGATTACGTTTCTACAAAGTGTTTACCACATAACCTCGTACTTTTCGTAGGAATCAATATTTCACGACGAATGGCTTTTAGCCAAAGCCTTCGTATTTTTTTATCCTTCGGTATTTGGAGCGTTGCGACTTCAGAGCATTTAGAGACAATACAGTACAGCGCGTTATTATAACTGTTTGAAATTATTTTCTGAATTCAACCATAAAAAAATGCAATGTTTTGGGAACAATCTACGCTAGCGCCACTTTGACAGTTGCCAACCCCATTTCGCGTTCGCGCCGAAATTTGTCAACAAAAGTGGGAAATATAATATTCGTAACTTATTCACTCCAAGTTTATGTGCATTTTGTTTTCTTTATATTATATTTACTTAGTTGAATAAACGTGAAGACTATTTATTTTGAAATTACAAATTTAGCATGCTTACGATGTTCATTAGTTATTTATGAATTTATGTAAGTTGTTTAAGGCCAGTAGGGTAGTTTTTTGTGTGCTACATCGGACTCCTTGTAAGTTATTTCAGAAGATATGTCGTGTTTATTCATTACAAACGTTCGATATTAAGCCACATACTAGAAAAATGTCTCAAAGGAGCATAACTTCATTTTTTAAAATAACCCCTAAGAAAACGGATGGTGCTAGTGAAGATAATCAAAAAGACGTAAGTATGTTCTTATTATGCAAAATAAAACATTTACAGGTATTTAACGGTGTGGGAAAACGTCTAGTAAATAATAATTTATTTAACAATGTAAGGGTTGCTTACATTTCAAAACTTTTTAGTGATTAGGGTGTTTTTTAAATTATTAAACATGAACATGGCCCTTTTTATTATTTCATTATCTCACAAAAGGTAGATTAGGGGAACATACGAGTTACTAATCTAATAATTAAGGTGTAAACAAAGCTGTTGTCATCGCTAAGTAATTTATTAAACTTTTATTTACTATTTCACAATTCAATTATTTTCTATAATGTGCAATCATTAGAGATTAAACAATCAAAGGACAAAAAATCAATTTCTTAACCGCATACTCAAAAAAATAATAAAAGAAGGAATATAACACATTATAGTGATATTAAACATATTATAGTCTTATTCAAGATGATGTTGTGACCAGGATTAAGAAAGGAATGCTTTGGTGGTTTAGTTATATGGAAAGAATGAATGAGGAAAGAGTGACTAGGAAAATTCATGTTGCAGAAGTAAATGGCAGAGTCGGAAAGGGAGGTCCTAGGTGAAAATTTATCGACCAAATTAACAATTTATTGAAAATGGGCCAAATTAGGGTACCCTTATCCGACGAGCATGTATGCGTAGATATATGGATGTGAAGGAGGCGAGAGAGGTGTGTCAGGATTGTGCCAAATGGAAGTCTGTAGCCTCTGTCTAACCCTCTGGGTGACAGGCGTGAGTGTTTATGTAAATGTTATTTATGTAAAGTGATATTAATTCAGACTGCAAATGTAGTCAATCATTTTTGTGGCTCTTAAGGCTGTACTGGATAGCCACTTTTCCAGTTTAATGAAGGGGGGTGATTATTCCACCGTTTGGTGATGTACATTCAACATAAGTATGATATGAACTTGTTGATATCTAGGTTTGTATGCAACATAGTAATAAAAGTAAGAGACCTGGAAACATGTGCATTTTAACATTAATGAAACTATGCATTAATAAATATCATGGGGAGAAAGCTCCCAAAAAACTTACCATATTCATTTATTCAAATAAGTTAATTTTGTAAAGATACATTTAGTTTTTTCATAAAACCCTTCTTTTCTTGTCTGCACTTACAGTTTTAATACAAATGTTGATGCATTTTACTAAAATATAATGTAACGCACATTCGTATTCGTTTATTCAGTGTATTTGTTTCCCACACAATGTAAAGTGAGACAGCACATTTTAGTCTTACTCTCCAGATATTGTTTTTTGTATGGTTTTTTCCCTGTGGACAGAATCTTTGAGTTTTAGTTTGTTTGCTTAGATATGGTCGCCTTTCCCATCGCACCTCCTTGGCATGTGCCACATCTTGTCAAACAGTTCTGCTGTGACATTAAAGGTTCTGCATGTGGCTTACACCTGCAGTTGAATTTGGGATTTTAAAACTTGTCTAACTTGTGTTAATAACCACAAGAATAAAATAGTATTCTATTTTGATTTTGGAATTTAAAAAAAACATTTAACAAACACAATAAAAAATAATAAAATAAAAGCAAAATAATAAGTACACCTCTAGGTGTACCAACACTTATATTAGTGAACAGACTTCAAAATGTATGAAATCAAAAGAAATGTAGAATGTCTTATCATCACATCATGTAGTTACTAGTTTAAGTTCATATTTATTTAATGCAGATATGCAGAAGTTACTTGCATTGAATATAAATATATGAATAGGACACTAAGTTATAATATGTGAATAGTTTACTAGGAATACTAAGTTTATTGCTCAGTCATCATAAAAAGGCAGCAGGGATTAATCTCTACAATTGTTTACCTGTAACAACTTTAGTAGTATTTCCTATTTCTGGTATAGATATCACCATCAAAACAGACAAATGAGATATAAACTTTCACACTTCAATAGTTGCATTTACTTATACATATTATATATATTTTTAAAACAAGCCTCTAAAATTAATGCATCAAATTCTGTGCTCTGTTTCATCTTTTTATCCTGAAACTGAAAGAAAGATGCCCATTTTTCACCTGACTATGTATAGAAATGAAATCTTAAAATTCAGCTAATTGAAATGTAAATTAATTACGCTTATCACAATGTTAAAATAAATGGAGGAAAAAATATATTTTTATATTTCTTTTAGCTTATTCTATGTCAAGGGTAAACATATTACCAAATTTTGAATGCATCTCAACTATCCTTTTTCTAGGACATTCCATTTTACACATTGCTAGTTAACTTTATTCAACTCTGTTTCTGACTTTTGTACCTTATTTCATGTTTCATGCACACATTTATTTATTTATTACCTATTTGGTAATGGAAAATTCTAACTTAAAAAGTTACATTAATATTATTTATGCTTCATAGCGTTTAAATAGTAAAAATGACTAATATTTTTTGGGCTTCATAACGTTTAAATTGTAAAAATGACTAATATTTTTTGGGCTTCATAGCGTTTAAATCGTAAAAATTACTATATGACATTAACTTCTAAACTTACATGCAGTTTTTCTACTATACTTTATAACTATACATAAACTTTCTTCAAATCCATACTTTTAAATGTATGGATAGTGCGCATGATTCTTTGTTTGATACTCGAATTTGATCCTAATGATCACCTTTTTTGGACATTTAAGAGTTGTCCATAAAGTATCCGCTTTCAAAAAAATGGTTTTTTTATATAATGTAAAGAAGTAATTTTAATATACATAAATAAATTCATTTATCAATCATGCAGTTTGTCAGCCATGTAGTGGCACCATCACTACATTAGAAAATCCACTTCCCCATGTGCCCTGTGGATGTCGTAAGAGGCAACAGAGAAAAACTAAAACAGGAGATGAGTAGCAGCTTCTTCCCGATAACAAGTAAATTTACAAACTGCAGTTGCCTACTCGTCTGCCAAGCATTGCTACTATTGCAATATCCCTATATGAGAGTAGTCCTACTAGGGGAGGAGGCCCATGTTCAGCTGTAGACTTTTGGTAGGTTATAATGGTTGGACGGATAATGAATAATATCCCATAGGTTACACAGTCTTTTTGTGTGTTAATTATTATTCATATCAAACCAATTGTTATTTTCAGGACAAATCAAGTGCAAACGATTCTTTTAATGAAAATCCATCTCCAGTGGTAAATGGGAAGGTAAGATACATTTATTTATTTAACAGGAGTAGCAGATATGTCTGTATAAACACATTTCATCCTTTTGACATATATATAGCTGTGATGTTGCTTATTCATGGGAGCATCAATAGCATTCTTAAAGTAATTAGTGAGAAACCAATGTGACTTTATGTGTCACTGGGTGCATGTCCATTTCCATGTTTCCTATGCCAGCCATGTAATATGTCCTGACAGGTACCTCAGGTATATGAAGTAATGTCTGTTTATTTAAATAATTACCTACTTTTACTTTTTATTTTCTTATTTTTTTGTAGGATAGGGTGACAAACGAGCACATAGTCTACCTGATGGTAAGTGGTTGCTGTGGCCCATAGACATCTACATCTTTCTTCGATTACAAATCAAAATCTGTCACCCGTAATGACCAAGATGAAATGCCTCGTTTCCAGTAAAAAGGGTCTCCAGTTCTCTACACTCACCATACAAAACACAGCGGCATTAAGCTACTATTTTACGCTGATATTCTGTGAGAGCGCTGTCCCTCCCCGGTCGAGCTGACCCTGATTTGCGCTACAACTATACTACTAATAAATTGGCAGCATGGTTCTACCAAATATACTGACACAGTTTTAAGATTTTTCCTTTTGTATTTATTTATTACAAAACATGATCAGTAATAAATGATTTTTTTTATTACTTAAACCAATGAACTCATGACACATATTTATTGTACACAACTGTGTTCCTTATAGTAATCTAGTCGATTATCTGCCAATGGTTGGCTGTGTAGTGGTAGCGTAAGAGATACTGCAGCCCTAGATCACACTAAAAATAGTCTAATAGGAGACCAAGTCTCCTATTAGACTATTTTTGACATAGATCATTGATCATATGACATAGATGATTTGGGATATTTAAACAGGAGATAGGCAGCAACATCTTCTTTAAAACAACTTAATAATTATAATGTTTGCCAATCCTCCTGTCAAAGGCCTAATAACCTCAAATGTGGATAAATTATGGCAAAATATCATCCATCCTTGAGGTAATTATTGGCCTATATTCAGCTGTAGCCTTTTGATAGGCTATAATGGATGAATAAATGTATGAGCATCTAAATTGGAATACAACAATTGGTATTATTTATTACATTATATTGCTTTACAGAGATCATCGAAGAGACTGAGGTCTGAGAGCATTGATAATGTATCACCCAAAGCTTCCTCCAGGTCACCATCACCAATCAGTTCCGAAAAGGTGAGTTTATTAGAATTAAATAGTGCATTTATCATATCATACATTATCTTAATTTTTCAAAACTATTCCAGGATGACCATTATCAAGAGTTATGAAGGAATTTATAATTTATATGTTTTTGCCATGTATGATGATGATGGGATGATATGGGGTAGTGGATATTCTTAACTGTTACGTTAAGAATATCCACTACCTCATATCTTCCCATGGGTGTCATAAGAGGCGACAGAGGGTAACAGGCAAAAGATGGGCAGCAGCATCTTCGTATTAGAAGCAAAAAAATACAATAAAAAACTGCATCGGCCGACCGGTCGCCAAGCATGGCAACTATGGCAAACATGACGATAGTTATGAAAACGGCCCCGCTGTTACTTGCTATGGTGCTGACCATGCTAACGGCGGGGCATGCTGAGAATCCACGGTAGAGGTTCGGTTGCCACCTAAGATGACTCGACCTGGCAACATACAACGCACGTACCCTGAGTACTTACAAGAAGATCCTGGAGCTGGAAAAAGAGATTGACAAGTTGCGCTGGGATATTATAGGATTACCTGAGGTCCGAAGAGAGGAGGAGGACATGGTAATCCTTGAACCCGGTAACTTATTCTATCACTAGGAGGGCGACCATCTGTCTCAAGGAGGTATCGGATTTATCGTCCACAAGTCTCATTAACAACGTCGTAAAGATTGTGAGTATGTTGACGAGGGTTGCGTACCTTATACTCAGAATCACCAAATGGTATTCGTTCAAGGTCATTCAGATTTACGCACAGACCTCGATACATCCCAATGAGGAGGTGGAGGAAATATATGAGGATATCTCTAGAGCCATGCATTCCTCCAAAATCCATCATATGGTGTTAATGGAAAACTTCAATGCAAAGCTAGGCACAATAAAGAACAGTGAGCTGAAGGTAGGAATATTCGGAATAAACCAACAGAACCCAAGGAGCCAGCAGCTGGCCGACTTCATGGAGAAAAAGAGATTCTTTATGATGAACTCTTTCTCTCGGAAGCGGTCCCACAGGAAGTGGAGCTGGTTGAGCCTTGACCAGGACGAGACTGATCTCATTTTTTGTCGAAAAAAAAATGAGATTGCCTTCATTATGACTTCTAGACGGCAACTGTTCAGTGATGTCTCAGTAATCGCAAGGATAAAAACTGGCAGCGATCACTGAATTGTGAGAGACACACTGAACCCAAACATTAAGTTGAAGAGGTCTCATCTAATGAAGTCAATGCTCCATCCCCCTCATGCTATAATCCAAAGTCCTAAAAACTTTCAGCGCGAGTTACAAAACCGTTTTCAGTGCTTAGAAGACTGCAATACAGTGGACGGTATGAATTACTAGCTTGTAGAAACTGTTCATGCCTTCGGAGCTAAGTTTTGTAAACCCATCGCAAAAGAACAAGAAAACTCTCCGATCACACTCTTAATCTCATGGCTGTTAGACGGTAAAGTTGCGGTCTTCAGCACATTTGACAGCATACAGGTAATGGAACAGACAGACAGACAGACACCATCGACCATAATAAGACACGTGTTTCACTTCTACACAAGTCATCTTCAGGTGATGTAGACTCTACGGTGGCTGACCGCTAAGTCAAACCCATCACCTGAAGATACCTCGTGTAGAGGCGAAACACGGGTATCTTTCTTAGAATAGTGGTGTTGGGAGTAGTGATGCTGGATTAGTGGTGACGGAATTAGTGCATGCAATTGAGGGAGGGCGGGAGATGCTCTTCAAACTAGGTAAGACACATCATTTTATTTTATTCAGCGGATGGTTGCAAAGTAACTATTAATATCTTTATTATAATGGATTTCCTCAAAGTAACGCCTGATTCCATTAATTATCTAGAAATGAAAATATCCGTAGTTGATCCAGAGTAACCAACATAGACCAACGAATTAGTAAACTGAAGGGGCAATAATCCAGCTATATAGCTCGAAGAATTGACAACTGATTGGAAAGAAAGGTTCTCGAGGTAAGACAAAGGGTAAGGCCCACTAGACGGAGTGACGACCTGGTAAGATATGCGGGAAGCCGATGGATACAGATGGTTCAGGACTGTACTTTGTGGCATTCCCTGGGGAAGGTCTAGCTTCAGCAGTGGACATGTGAAGGGCTGTGATGATGATGATGAACGCTCAGTTTTGCATTATGACTGATTGAAAGGTGTTTGTACTAAAAATACTTTAAATGCTTAAAAATGTTTATAAAACTATATAAACCTAATTTAAGAATTTTAATGACTTAATAATATTTTGTTTTTAGAAAAAGAAAGTAAAACGCCAACGCATTGATAGCTCCGAAAGTGAATCTGATATTGCCAAAGATTCTGCAGAAGAGTCAAATCGAATAAAAGTTGAGAATAAGGAGCCCAAAACCTATGACTCCCCTAAAAGTAAGAAGAACAAAGTAAAAACTAAAAAATCAGGTAGCAGTGACGTTAAAAGTCGCAAAAAAAGTAAATCGAAAAATCCAGAAGAAAAGCTGAAAATTAAAACTGTAAAAGAATCTCCTGAAAATACTGACGCAAAGACCAAATCTGAGGTCAAAGAAAAAGTAAAGGATAGTAAAAACAATATGAGTGCTTTTGTAAAAAAAGAAAATGGCGCTCAAAAGGAATCTAGTCCAAAAGGTGAAAAAAGTAAGGATGCGGAAAATTCTGAAGTTAAAAATCAGGAGGAATTAGTTGCTGGTGAGTACATTGTCATTATATTGATTATAGTCAACCAAATCTAAGAAATACATTTTGACAGCTGTCAGACTTATTCACCAAGCATGCCAACCAAAAAATGGGTACGTACAATATTCGATTCGTAAAAAATCGATATCGATTATTTATAGTTGGTAATCATTTACAGTTTGGTTTGAATAACACCAGAATAAATTAAAAACAGATAATTTAGAACACAAGATTTATCAGTTTCTTTGTATTTGTTGTTACTGTTTATTTCTATAGGTACAGTTTTAAAAAAATTAGATCGAAACTAGATTAAGAATAAATTTATTCAATCACTTTCAGTACAACTAGTAGAGATATCGTTGTTTATATTAATTATTATTTAATTTTCAATAAAGCAGTCAAAATAAATGCGTCTTTCAAAGTCATCCCTAATCAATATTTTTTTGTTTTTTCTGCCACTTGCCCAATCATCCTTTGTGACATGGGCACATGCTTCAACGAATATAGAAGACACTGTCCAAAAAATTAAAGCCGATTCACAAAATAAGAAGACAAACACAAAACCGCAAAATTACGCATAAGCTTTCGAAACAGAAACAGAAACTGTTTTATTCAATGTAGATTATGAATAATACTTATTGAAAGTAACTTTTTGCATTTACCACTGGTTCGAAAAAAAAACCTCTGTCCTGGGAAGAACCAGCAAGAAACCCAACGGGACTAGTTTTTTTTTAAATAAGAGCTTACAATCATGCGTGTTACAATTAACAACACAAAACAAATTAGAAATAGCTTGGTAGCGATCACCCTTCCCAGGGGTTATCATCCATAAATTCCTTAATATTAAAATAACCTTTTTATATAAACTTAGTATAATAAAGTTTTTGAACCTTGTGTACTTACGTCAAATTTTGTATATTTTCTGGGATTTTGTTGTAAAAGTATCGCCCCAAGAATGAATTACTGACTCTGGAGTCGAGTAACTGGTACCGAAATGGCGGGATATTTAAATTATGTAGTGTTTATTTTAGCACGCCCTTGTATATGATTTTTTTTTGCCTACACAAATTTACCTTCACAAAGTAAAAAAAAATATAAACTTGTTTTATTCATGATTCATGTAATTTAAGAAATTTTGAAAACAAAAATTAAATTAAACAAATAATACATTAAAAAAATTAATGATTCGATTATTTGAATATTTTTACCGATTATTTGAATATTTTACCGATTCATATAAGAATGAATTTTAATCGTCTAAACACTACAGTAATGTACGTAGCGACATATCATTGAAACGACGTCAAACAAAAAAGGTGGTTGTGGTTGTTTTTTAATATTTTGCTTTTTTTAAGATTCAAATTTAAATTAGTGTTAAAAACTATGCACCTTGTAATGAAATTTAGAAAACTTAATAATTCTTCGGATTTACATAAAAAGTTATTTTAAATTGTGTGAGTACACTTGTGCAAAGTTATTGCAGAATGATGAATGTGAAACGTCAAAAGGTATTTCTTAGATTTGGTTGACTATAGTTCTAATGCAAGCTCGTCAAGTAAAATTTTGAGAAATGGAGTTGATAAAAAAACAAATGAAAACTTAAAAATTAAATTTGTTTAATTCATGCAGTAATGAACTTGTCGAAAGTCTACTGCCGAAGATTAGCTTGTGGCAGATGGGTTTGTAGCAGCAGTTTTCTTAATTAAAAAACTACCCACAAGAATTTTATCCTGCCTCCAGACCCGGAACAATTACTTGCAGGCCATAGTTGATGCACTATTGCAGCCCTCAGTGCCGCAACTCATTGCTAAGCCACTGCGCCACGGAGCTGCCATTGTTTTCAGTTATCAGGATGATGCGGCTGCCCATCTCCTGTTGCTCTTTGTCGCGCCTTACGACGCCCACGAGATAATTTGGTTAAGAACTCTCGCAGACACTACACAGAAATTCCATTCAAGTTGCAGCTATGATACAGCTGCAGTGTCATCACTGAATTTATTTAATTTGATTAACTGTTTGTTCTTTCTGAGAAATTTAGAATGGTATTAAAAAACAAAAACATCAAGTTTTCTTGTAACATATAAATTACAAGAAGTGTTGTAAAGAAGTTTCATTTCATATGTATGTACACAATTACACCCACAATTTTTTTATTTGTTTGAGTAGAGCATGTTCTAAACAAAGGATGTTTCATTTATCTTTTAGAAATTGACTATAATCCAGGGAAAGCTAAATACCACCCTGTCAGAGATGCATGCTGGTCAAAAGGTCAAAAAGTGCCGTATTTGGCTCTAGCGAAGACCTTGGAGATCATAGAAGCAACGTCGGCACGATTGAAGATGGTTGAAATATTGAGCAATTATTTCCGCTCAGTGATAGCACTAACTCCAGAAGATCTGCTGCCTAGCATCTATTTATGCTTGAATCAGTTGGCACCTGCATATGTTGGCTTAGAATTAGGTAAGATATTTTTTTCAACTAGTGAGCCACCTCTGCTTCACTGGATAGCATATATTAATGTGGCGTTATTTAGATTTAAGATGGTCAAAGATCATGTATTAATTTTTAGTTTTTTCCAAAACAATATTTAAAGGTTTTCGGATAAAATATAGCCAAGATCCCCCCTAGCATTGCTTTCTATCTGTTTGTAAAATTTCATCACGAACGGTTCAGCCAATCCGAAGATTAGCATGGACAGACAGACAGACAAAAGGTATTATAAATAAAACAAATTATTTGAATCAAACATTTAAAAAAAATTAAATTGAAATATTTTAAGTTTTGCTTTAAAATATTTCATTTAATGTTTTAAAACTCGAAAGCAATTACAAATCATAATATTACAACATAGTAATTTGATGGTCAAATTTGACATTTCTTCCTGTTCCTGTTCGCTAAATTACAGTTTGCTGGATCATCATCATCATTACAGCCCTTCACAAGTCCACTGCTGAACATAGGCCTCCCCCAAGGAATGGCACAAAGCACGTTCCTGAGCCACCTGCATCCATCGACTTCCTGCATGTCTTACCAGGTCGTCACTCCATCTAGTGGGAGTCGCCCTACGCTTCGCCTGCCCGTACGAGGCTGCCAATCGAGAACCTTTTTTCCCCTTCGGCTATCGGTTCCACGAGCTATGTGGCCGGCCCATTGCCACTTCAGCTTACTAATCCGTTGGGCTAAGTTGGTTACTCTGGTTCTACTGCGTAGAACTTCATTCCTAAGTTTATCACGCAGAGAAACTCCGAGCATAGCCCTCTCCAAAGCTCGCTGAGCGACCTTGAGCGTCCTCATACGGCCGGCGGTGAAGGACCACGTCTCAGATCCGTAGGTCATCACTGGCAACACGCACTAGTTGTACAATCGAGTTTTGAGATTTTGAGGTATGCCTGACGAGAAGATGTGTCGCAATCTCCCGAACGCTGTCCAGCTGAGTTGAATTCGTCGATTGACCTCTCGATCGAAGTTTTACTTACCTAGTCAGACTACTTGTCCCAGCTAAACATATTCGTCAACAACTTCGAGCTTAGTGCTCCCAACAACCACCAGCATAGGTGTGACATGGACATTACACATGCCTTTCATTTTGTCCTTGTTCATCTTAAGACTTATTTGTTGGGAGAAACTATTGAGATCATCGAGCATAGTACTTAGGTCTTCCAGCGATTCTGCTATAAGGATTATACCATCGGCAAATTGAAGGTGAGTGATGTACTCGTCATTGACGTTAATACCGTATCCTTTCCATTCCAGTAGCTTGAAAATGTTTTCCAATGCAGCAGTGAAGAGTTTCGGGGATATTACGTTACCCTGTCTTACAACTCTCTGCAGTTGGATAGATTTCGTACTCTGGTTCTGTACTCGGATAGCCATCGTAGCCTTACTGTACAAACACTTCAGCACTTCGATATACCGACAGTTAACTTGGCACCGCTGAAGAGACTGCAGCACCGCTCAAATTTTGACGGAATCAAAGGCTTTCTCATAGTCCACATATTATGATATAAGCCTTTGATTTGCTGGATATTACACTGAAATTTCATAAACATATGGTTGAATTTAGAAGAGCGTAAATTACTACCCGTCTTAGTAATTTCGCTAATTAAATAAACATGATAAAGTTTATTCAGTGTAAAATGTATGTAATGTGTGTCGTGTGTGTTGTTGCAGGCATCGCGGAGACGTACCTGATGAAGGCGGTGGGGCAGTGCACGGGGCGCAGCGTGGCGCAGGTGCGTGCCGCGGCGCAGCGCTGCGGGGAGCTGGCGCTGGCTGCGCAGCAGGCGCGCACCACGCAGCGCACCATGTGCGCCGCGCCCGCCCTCGCCGTGCGCGCCGTGCACGCCGCGCTCAAGGACGTGGCCGCCATGACCGGTGCGTGCAGTGTACACTACAGCGTAGCGCAGCAGGAGCGCACCACGCTGCGCACCATGTGCGCCGTGCACGCTGCGCTCAAGGACGTGGCCGCCATGACCGTTGCGTGCAGTATATACGTGCAGTATGCACATGCAATGTACACTTGCAGTGTGAACGTGCAGTGTGTACATACAGTATACACGTGCAGTGTGCGCATGCAGTATATACGTGCAGTGTGCACGTACAGCGTGGCGCAGGTGCGGTGTGCGGCGCAGCAGACGTGCACCACGCAGCGCTGCGGTGCAGTGTGTAATGCACAGTGCATTGTGAACGGCGTGCGGTGTGTACCACGTGAAGTATGTACTGGGACATATAGTGTATAATGCAATGTGCAATGTATAATAATGTCTGCAGACCCGGTCATGGCAGCCAGACAGGAGTGGAGACTAACCATCTGCGCAGGACAAGTTTATATTGCAGTAGTGTATGTGCAAGCGAGCATGAGTCCACTTTCTATTGCCTTAGTATCATAGTATAATAGGAAGGTAATCCAGCACGATCAGAGTTGATTGAGATTGGTCCTTAACTCAGACACAGGACCAATGGCTTTATATGCTTTCTATGTCACTGGGCTGAAACACCACCAAATTCCTGATTGCAAACTGGAGAACAGCCTTAAACTAACAAGGCAGGGTGAAAATGTGTTTGCAATGCAATTGGCAAGATTTATCTTTTTTATATGATTAGACCCACTGTGTAGAATATTGTGCTTACCCAAACTCATAGAGAATAGCAGCATAAATTAGCAGTTCAATGTTGGTGTATTTTTTTAAACCTCAATCTCATACAAGGTGGCCCATAAGTCATTAGAAATGTAAATTTCGAATAAAATACAAAAGGCGCGCATGAGTGGCGCGCGCGGTGTAGTACCGACGGTTTCTGGGAATTCAGTCGCCATGGAGCGTTTCACCGGTGCGGACCGTTTTTTGTGTGCGCGAGTTTTATCGAAACTATGATTCGGCTACCATTGCGTGGCGTAAATTTCGAGAATATCAGAATTTACTCAACTTTAAAGACATTCCAAGTGTCCAAACGATTAAGAACTGGGTTATTAAGTTCGAAGAGAGTGGTTCGACGTTAGATAAACAACGGTCAGGCCGACCAAGGACATCACGGATGGAAGAAAACATCGATGTAGTGAAACACTCAATTCGTGAAAATCCTACCCAGTCTACTCGTAAGCGTTCCAGTGCATTAAACTTACCCAGAACATCGTTACAGCGAATTTTAAAGAAAGATTTACATCTTCACCCGTACAAGATTCAGATAGTACAGGAGTTAAAAGATACTGACACTATCCACAGACACAAATGAAATGTTGAACCGCTTTACTTCGTTTAATAACGTGTTATTCTCTGATGAGGCTCACTTTCACATCAACGGCCATGTCAGTAAGCAAAATTGTCGCTACTGGAGTTGCGAAAATCCAAATCGCAAACATCAAAAGCCCTTACATAGCCCTAAAGTGACAGTTTGGGCGGCTATGTCAGCGCATGGCATTATAGGCCTTTACTTTTTTGAGGACGGCAGAGGCCGCGCGCTTACTGTTACTTCACAACGGTATGTAGCTATGATCCAGGACTTTTGTACACCAGAGTTGCAGAATTTTCCAGGCTTCAATACGCGGACCTGGTTTCAACAAATGGAGCAACTGCCCATACCTCTAACGTCGCTATGCCGGTCGTCCGTCAACTTTTCCCTAATAAAGTGATCTCTCGAAGAGGAAATATTCCTTGGCCACCACGTAGTCCAGATCTGACCCCAATGGACTTTTTCTTATGGGGTTATCTTAAGACTAAAGTGTACGAAACCAACCCGCGGACAATTGACGTCCTGAAAGAAAATATCCAAAGAGAAATGGCAAACATTACAGAGCTTACTTGCCGAGCAGTGATGGATAATTTTAAATGTCGCTTACAGGAGTGCCGCGATCGTAACGGATTACATTTAGGTGATGTAATTTTCAAAAAATAATTCCCATTTTATAAGGATTATGACAAAATAAAAACCTTTTTCATAATGTCATTAGTTTTTTTTTAAATTATTTTTATACATTTCAAGGGACTTATGGGCCACCCGGTATATACCAGCATGAAATAGCAGCATAATGCGGTTGTGTATTGTATGTTGAATAACATAATCCCAAGATCCTTTTATTGTTATCAAGGGATTCCCTCTTAATCCTCAGTAGTTAGCACACATCAACGTTTTGATTACTAACAAATGATACTATGAGTTTCATCTTGGCACGCTGACATCATTCATCAAAGTTTCCTGCAAAATCTGACCTTTAACAGCGGAGTTTGTTCAAAGAGATTTCATTGCTGGAATAATCGAGAAACGCAACGCGCGCTTGGACGTGGAGCTGCGGACAATAACCCGTTGTGAACCATTCTATGAGTCACATTGTCTTTTTATTTTAAAAGAATAATGGCTTCTTTGTTTTACCAATGAGAGTCATATCATTAACCTGGCTTCTATAAAAAGTATGCTATACAGTTTGTAGTTGGAACAGTGCAATAGGCTGAGTGTAGTGTACTTTTATTCAAAATACTGCACACAACATGTAATTTTATTGTTTTAATCCATCTTCATCAGGTCACGCGTCAGTCAACAAGAAAATTGGCAAAATCCAATCCTTGTATGTGGCATGTAGACATTCAGAATCGAAGTTTTTAATAAGGTAATATATGCCGATAATATTTTCTATACTTTGCTTATATTATTTTTTTCATGACTTATTAATTTAATACTTAGCTCTTTTTGTCGTGTTAAAGCCACGCGCAGCTATATTATGTTTGTAGCATAAGTGAATCACTCGAACGGGGTAGGACCACGCTCTCACATTATACCAGCATAAAATAGCAACTTCATACTGCTATGTTTCATATGGTAAGTGTAGTGACCCAGAGACTCTTTCTACAAGTAACAAAACATTTCATCATAGTCCTCAGGGATCACAACGCATCTGCATTTTGATCCTTCGATCGAGGAAAAATCTAGATTTCTATGAGCCACAACATCTGCTTACCACCAGATGGACTATGTGCCTGTTTGTCACCCTTATTCTTAAAAAAAATAGCTCGTTGAGGGTGCTTTTAGGTATCATAATATGATTCTATTAAGACGTCGTAACGTATAAAATCAAAATTCAAACGTCTTTATAAAAGAGTCCTTTCTCTTTATTCTTTAACAGTTAAGTAAAATACAATGCTAGACATTTTTATTTTTTAAATGATTTTTTTTTTCACATATACACAATCTTTTTTAACTTCTTTAGCCTGTAACATTTAGCTGGACATGCAAATACCCTTGCCACCCTTAGAAAGGATTCGCTATAATCGTTACGCTTACTAGCGCACGAGGGCAGGTGCGAGGAGGAGTGCGCGGCGTGACGTGCGTGGGGCCCGCGCCGCGCGCCCAGCGCCGCCGCGGCCCTCTGCGGCCGCCCACGCGTGCGGCTGGCAGCCCGCCACCGGGAATATGAATAGCCCCTGCAGTGCGTTCAGCAGATCTGTAGCGTACCACAGGTACGCGGGCCCGCCCGCCGCCCACGATATCACATCCGCGCCCCACGTCACGCCCCTCACCACCACCAGCTTGGCGCATACGCACCCCAATGTCGCTCTGCAACAGAACTTGAAGAAAATGATTTAGTAATCCTATCTTGTAACTGTTTAATTTTACTGTTACAACTTCATTACTTGTTTCCATATAGATCGCTGGAAGGAAAACTGCGTGTGGGCTTAGCAGAGCAATCCTTGCTACAAGCGCTTGCCCTGGCGGTAACCTCTACCCCACCTGCAGGGCCCGGGGCCGGCTGTCTAGATGTTGCTAAAGAGATGCCTGCTGATGAGTTTAAGGTAATGTAAAAACCTGCAAAGGACAACCTGCTGCATACAGGCCTTTCCTTTTAACACATTCACTGTCTGGTTTTCAGACACAATACTAATAACCAATATGTGGTTCAATGGACAGTGAATGTGTTAATATAATAATTTTCACCATGGAACATACAATAGTAGATGGATATGTATTAGCTTATTAAAGTTATAAGTTGAGCGCACACAATATTGGAGGGGATAGTAAAAGACGTGTTGCTGGTACTGTATTTTTAATTAGACTTTACACTTATGTAAAATATATAATTTAAAGCTACAGCATATATACGTCCCCCGGCTGTTCGTTCGCCTTCTCTCGTTTCTGAGAGGATTTTAAGATGAGGAAATGTTCGCCGCACTGACCCAATGCGTGTTGGCGAACTTCACATGTCTTAAAAATATTTTTTTTCCTTCATGGGTTTCTTCACGATGTTTTCCTTCACTGCCGAGCACGTGATAAATCAGTACTTTAAATTGCAATTAACAATTTTCTTGGTTCTGGTGGGGATATATTATCTTAACAATAATTTAATAGTTATCGACTCCATCCATAGTTCTCACCACATTACCAAACGTTTGCTAGCTGAGAATGCTACTTGCGCGTTAAGTTTGCCTTTGCACCAATTATTTTGAGTGCGATAAAGAATTTTCTGAGTATATTATGTTGTGTGGACTACTTAACTACAAATCGTTCTACAAAAATGCTGAATAATATAACAGTTAGTGGTTATATGTTTACCGCGTAGTGGCGATGTAAGAATATCCACAACTCATGTACCCGTGAGTACCCTACGGGTGTCGTAAGAGGCAATAGAGGAAAACAAACCAGGAGATGGGCCGCAACGGCTTTATGAAAATCTTTAAACTGCTTGGCAATTGCCATCCCAAGTGCCAAGCGTGGCGATTCTAGTAAATATATGTATATATATATATATGTGTTTGTTTAATTTAAAAGTCGTATTTTAATGTGCTGTACTGACATAAGTTTATTATATGTACTTATTAAGTCACCTGTCATTAATGTTTCACCACGCAATGGGTGCGTTTGGCAGAAAAAAGCGCTAGCAAGCGCTTACTAGCGCTAAAATAGTTTTCGGCCAGGACACGATTGCTACTTCAGTAGCGCTGACACAATCCGCCATTTTGCTTATTTGATTTGTTTGTTTTGAAGTAGAGTTTATAAGATGTTTTATGCAATATTAGTTTTAAGTAATATAATGACATGAATAGACATATACATGTTATTAAAAATTCATGATTGGTAAGTTTTTAATATCAATACTTCACAAACATATATTTAAATTAGGTTAGATTCCCCGGTTAAAACTAACATCGTGTACTAGAGGAAAATAGCTACTTACGATTTGTCAGCGCTTACCGCTTACGATCGCCATTTTGCTTACAAGCGCTTGCTAGCGCTTTTTTCTGCCAAACGCACCCAATGACTTGACTAGTTGAGCATGCTGACTGGCATTAAGTTCGCCCTTTGTTACCTTTATGGTTAGAATAATAAAAAATGTAAGTAAATAAATAAAATGTTTCCTACGATGCATATGGGCCATGTTCAACTTAGGACTTGAGTGTAATGGTAAGGGTAACATGTGCAGTCGCTGGTGGAGGAGCACGCGGCGCTGATCAAGACGACGTACTGCGAGTGCCCCAACTACGACCTGCTGCTGCCCGTGCTGCTGCAGCACGGAGTCCACGCGTTGCCGCAGCATTGCCGCCTCACCCCCGGGATACCCCTCAAGCCCATGCTGGCACACCCCACCAAGGGCGTCCACGAGATATTCACACGGTTACTTTTTCCCCTCTTTATTTTTTGTACGTGAATACATGTTTAAATTTGCTGCCATAGTGGCAGGCGATGAGGGTAGCCACGACGTTTTCTGCTTCTTCACTAGGGCGGCGCCACTTAGAGCTGAAATGAAATATTTGACAGATTTTATGGCGTTCTTAATTTGTTAGAAAAATAAACGGGTAAAGTTTCTTTCTCAAGTATTATTTATATTTTAACTACGAATATTCGTAAAAGTAGACAAAATTAAAAAGATAATTAAATTAGTGCAGAAAATTAAGTGTAAATCGGCTATAACCGATAGTTCGTGAGCCGGGAAGCAGGGTTGTTGGTAGTCTTGCCAAGTGTCCCGATTTGTGCGGGACGTCCCGATTTTCAAGGGTCTGATGACACTTCCCGATTCACCCTTGATCGGGACGCCAAATGTCCCCATTTTTACTAACCTTCTTAGTCTATACTTTAATCCATAATTTTGACCGCAAAAATGATTACATCTGTTAGCTACTACTACATTAAAATATTTTTACTACGACATTTTCTCACCAGTCGAAAAAACCCACAAAAGTTTTTAAACAGAATTATATTATAATGATTTGAAAAATTCAGAGACTGCAAAGAAAGACAAATAATTCCAAAATGTTTTGATTTGCGTAAAACGAAAAAAATGAAGATTTTACGATGTTTGGATAAAAATTTATTCGTTCGTGAGATTAGTTCCGAATAATAATTATAAAGCACAAATGTAAAGTAAAGTTACAGCCTTAGTCTTTAAAAGTCTGGATACCTCGCCTTCTTTCACTTCGATGGAATTTATATCGACAGGAGATTGATCAATTTTCGTGTCAATAATATTAAAGTTGGTTGTGTCAGAATCGTGAAGAAAGTTGGACTTAAAAAACTGATTAAAGAAATCACAAATTACTTCACCTTTGCTTGAAGAATGTTGACCGAATTTCATACTAGAAGGATATGAATTTGGAGATTTTTTACTCTTGACAAAGTTCCAGGAGGCTTTCGGTGATTTGCTTATGTTATTTTCTATATCGCGAATGTAAGCTTCGTACATACTTTTTTCAAGTACCTTACCACGTTCCCTTGATAAAATAAAAGAATCAAGATCGGAAGTGTTTCTATATTTCTTATACTTAGAGTGGTACTTCATTTTTTGTTTTAAGATTTTAATCAGGGGGTTTTATACCAAGGAGGAAATCTGGAAGTTGGTTTAACAGTTTTGCAAGGGACATGTGCATTGATTAACATTTTTAAATTATCATACAATAAGAGTACAGCCTCCTCTAAAGTACCAATTCTGAGACAGTTTGACCAGTCCGTACTATCAATTTGTTGGCATATTTTAGTGTAGTCTGCTAAATTATACAGGAATTTAGTTCTGGTTTGCGGTGAAAGCATATGCTGGTGGATGAAATCAACAGATATACATAACGCCACGTGATCGTGATCTTCCGACACCAAAGGGTCCAGACATTTATGTACATCTATAAAGTTATTACACAAAATTAAATCCAGAATTCTGTTGTTACATTTTAGTTGACAATTATACTGAGATAAGGAACATAAATTGAGAGTATCAAAAAAGTCCGACTGAATGGGACCTTGAATATTAGAGGGGCGGGGCATTGAGATTGCCCATCGTCAGCTGGCTGCCATATATTCGGCAAATTAAAATCGCCTAGAATTAAAAAACCGTCTGTCAAGTTATTTAACACAGTCTCATTTTAGTGTAGAAACATTTTAATTGCTGTAATAAAGAATTACCTAAGTTTTGATAGCACATATAAACAACACAAATATTTAATTTGTAACACATATTAGTTGATGCACGCTTTAGGGCCAGAGTAATCCATATATCCTCTGCTGATGAACGCCAATCACTGTGTTCAAAAACTATAAGCTCTCGTCGAACAGCAATAAGAACGCCACCCCCCATACTTTGACCTGTATCAGAATAATTCCTATCACGCCTCCAAACTAGGTTTCGGTTATCAAATAATTCAGTGTCGTTGAAGTCCTCATTAAGCCACGTTTCCGTTAAGCATATTAAGTCGTAATTATTCATAACAATATTCCTATATAAAGTTGCTACTTTAGTCCGTAAGCCCCGGACGTTTTGGTAGTATATATTATATTTCTTTAGGTAAATGTTTTCGCAACAGGATAAACAATAAACTAACTTGTTACTCGCATACTGTGAGCGTTAACATTTACAGTGAGCGTTAACCATCTGAGCTACCACGGCTCTCAATAAAGCACAAAAAGCTTACGAAAAAACCTATGTGAAAACCAAACTCCCGATTACCTTCCGTCCCGAAATTTTCCTTGCTTATGCCTGGCAACACTAGTTGTTGGTGTAGTGATCATTGACGCGGCTGCTTGGCATGAAACCCTAGGTTCGAATCTAGAGTTGGGCCAAAAACAAAAAAAAATAAGTTATGAGTTTTCATGTCAAGAAATTCTCAGTCGCAGCTTGGAGTCAGGAAGTTGACTGCATTTATACCCTCGTGCCTCTGAAAGCACTTAAAACCATTAGTCCTGCGCTAGATTCCTCTCTATTAGGTCGAGACTATGAGAGTGGGGGAATAAAGAGTACACCTGTACTTGCGCATACACTCGGACACTATAATCGTATCCATCGCAGATGGCTAGGCTCCGTTAAGTCTGGCCACCGTGACCGAAATTCGGTCTGCAGGACATTATTATTGTCATATAATGAAGTCAGCTTTCGGTGATCTCAGGTTCGAAGGCGAGAGGTTTACCTGCGAGTGGAAGTATGACGGCGAGCGAGCGCAGATACACGTGCCAGGAGACGAAGCACCGAGATACGGTGATGCACGCATCTTCAGTCGCAACCAGGAGAACAACACTAGGTTTTTATTTATATATAATATGGCAAACGATATCTTCTTGTATCTGTCGTAAGCAGGCGACAGAGGGAAACACAAGGAGATGGGCAGTAGCTACTTCCTAATCATCATCATCATCATCATCATTACAGCCCTTCACAAGTCCACTGCTGAACATAGGCCTCCCCGAAGGAATGGCACAAAGCACGCTCCTGAGCCACCTGCATCCATCGACTTCCTGCATGTCTTACCAGATCGTCACTAATAATGACTAAATAAAAAGCTTGCCAAGCTAAGCAATAATGTTAAAAGGGTATTATGGTCCATTGAAATGTGATGTAGTGTTGTAACCTACTCGACATGGTATATATTAGACTTAAGTTTGTAAATAAGAATAGTGTACTTAAAGTCATAGACAGAGTAACACGCCTCTCATTTTCATTTAACACCTTCCCAACATTACAGACATCCACATCTATCCTCGATTTATTTATCGATAAAGGTGACAAATGAGTATACAGTTCATCTGATGGTTCATCTGTAGTCCATATACATCTACATCTATTCTTGACTAAAGAACAATGCAAAAGTGTTGTCACCACCTGAGGACTTAGATGGAATGCCTTGTTTCTAGTAAAAATGGTATCCGGTGCTCTACACTCACCATACGAAACACAGCAGCATTAAGCTACAATTTCATCACATTAGTTTGACTGTGTGCTTGTTTATAATACTTATTCCATAAAAAATAGTTACTTTATAAAAATAGTTAGAATACTTTTTCGCGGGTAGGAGTTGATTAAGTTAGACATATTTTAATACACTGAAATCTTTAATTTGTATAATATTATATCTAGGGATTTTTGAATATAAATTTAATGTTCCTGTGATATATAAACTCCTGCCAGTCAAGTCTGAAATATATTTAGAATAACTTGAACTCTTTAGCACATTCACTTCACTACCACATTGTTATAACCTTAAAAACAAATGGAGTCAATTAAGAAATCTGTTGCGGACCTCACTGAACATTTCAACTTAAGGATGGCCGAGTTCCAAAAAGATCTCAAGAGTTCAATTCCAGCAACAAGCCCCACTTCAAATATTAATCACCAATTTAATTCATTCCGGTGCTTTGTTTTAACTGCTTTAGAAAATTTGCAACTGCAAGTTGAACTATTAGCTCAACAATATGATAACATGGAGATGAGATCTCGAAGAAAAATCCTGCTTGTTCATGGTATAGCCGAAGACAAGAAAGAGAACACATCCTCTAGTGTTGTCAAGGTTCTATCCGAGCACTTGAAAGTCCCTGGTATTACCACTGATTGGATAGGCCGGTCACATCGTCTTGGTCAACCTGGCACTGATAAACCCCGGGCTGTGCTTGTAGAATTTAGAGACTATGGGACAAAAGAGAAGATATGGCTTGCAAAGAAAAATTTGAAAGGCACTGGGATTACATTGTCCGAATTTCTTACAAAGGGTCGCCATACTACATTCCAAGCGGCGCGCCAACGTTTCGGAGTTTCAAGGTGCTGGACGAGGGATGGCATCATCTTCGTACTAGGACCTGATCAAGTACGCCATCGTATCCATTCTAGGCTTGATCTTGATGCTATTTCGACCTCTGAATCGGTAACTCAAGCCACATCTGCTGCAACCTCGGTACCAAGTGTGGTGAAAGACTCCAGGTCTGCTCAAGTAAGAACCAAGAGAATTGGTAAAAAATGAATCCTTTTTTGGAGCTGGTTAAATCTGTTTTATCTTGTGCGACTACCGTATTTCTGGTTTGTTTACATTCTTTTATTGAAAAAATTTTTAATTTATTTTTTATTAATATATATTACCATTTTTCTTTTATATATACGATGTGAGGTAGTTACTTGTAACTTATATATAAAAAACCATTTCGATGTAAACAAACAATAAGTGAATTGGCATAACATTAGATAACAGTTGCACATTTTTATTTCTTTCTTCGGTGTAGGCAAAGGTCACATAGTCATACAGCCGTACCTTATGGAATTTTTGACTTCTTTTCTTATCACAAAGCAACATCTCTATAACAATTCTCTTTGTGCTCATTACATATTTTTATTTGTAAAATGCTATTTGTTTACAGTTTTTGGTAGTTTTGTTTTGTTTAAAATTGTCTCTTTTGTATTTAAGTTATTCTGAAACATCTATTATTATTATTATTATTTTTGATTCATCTCTTTCAGACTGCTGGCGGGATAGAGATCTGTTTAGGTACTTACTTATATATTTAATTTAACTATTTAGTTTTATATTTATATATTATATATTTTATTTCATTTTACTATGTTGTTAGATAATTATGATGTAGGTAATGATTCTGACGATTTCCTGTCTTTGTCGTCAAATGATAATGCATCTAGTGAACTCAGCTTCCACAGTACAACATCTTCAATTCCGATAAATGTAGCACTTAATTCATATTTCTCAGATTCCCTGAAAAACTTTAATGTAATTCATATAAACGCCCAAAGCATTCCGGCTCATTATCCCGACATGCTTGCGTCCTTTGAATCCCATAACATTCACGCCATTCTAGTCTCTGAATCTTGGTTGAAACCATGTTTGCCATCCACTTCTTATTCATTACCAGGATTCCATCTTATTCGCAACGACCGTATTGGAAGGGGGGTGGAGGTGTGGCAATCTATCTCCGTTCTTATTTACCTTTTGCGGTAGTAAGCCTGTCCCCCCCAACCATCTCCTTCTAATGCGGCTGAGCATCTCTTCATTGAAGTAACCCTATCCAATACGAAAATTCTTCTTGGCGTTTGTTACAGTCCTTCTCTTCATATTGACTATTTCTCTTCTTTCGAATATTTATTAGAAAATTTAATCCCATTATATACTCACACTATAATCATGGGTGACTTTAACACATGCCTACTCAAGGGTGACTATCGGTGTGAAAAGCTAAAATCATTAACCGAGGCATGTAATCTACATATATTACCACTATCTGCTACGCATAAAATGCCTGACTGTACTCCATCACTACTTGACTTAATTATTGTATCCTCTCCAGATTTTGTCCTGAAGCATGGCCAGCATGACGCTGATCTCTTTTCTCATCATGATCTCTTGTTTCTTACATACAAAGTCCGTCCTCCTAAAGCAAAATCGAGAATCCTTCTGCAACGTAATTTTGGTGGAATGGACAAAGAACGTCTTCTGGAAGATGCTAGTCGCATGGATTGGTCAGCTGTTGAAAATGCTTCAACAGTCGACTTGAAAGTCGAGTTATTTAACTCCTTTCTTATCCAACTTTATGACATCCATGCCCCAGTAAAACCAATAAAAATGAAACATTTACCTGCACCTTGGTTAACGGATAGTTTAAAAAAACTTATTATAAAAAAAGGATTTGCTAAAAGTAAGTTAAAAGCTGATAAATCTGAGAAAAATTTACGATATTATAATAAAGTACGGAATCGCTGCAATACATTGTGTAGGGATGCACAAAGACGCCATATTCACAAATCCGTCGAAAACGGCGACGCAGCCAAAGTTTGGAAGTTTCTACAGTCTCTTGGAGTTGGTAAAACATCCAATAATTCTCCTCATCATAATGTTGATGTTGAATTCCTTAACAAATATTTCGCCTGCTCTAGCACATTAAATAGCTCAGATAAAGACCGGACTCTGAGTATTCTTTCTTCAATACCAACTCCTGATTTTTCACCGTTTAATTTCTCTCCTTTCACTGATAGTGATGTTAAAAAGAACATTTTGTCCATCTCGTCCAATGCCGTGGGTGATGACAATGTTAGTCGTAACATGATCCTACCTATCCTAGAATTTGTTACTCCTATCCTCACCCATATCTTGAATAAATCCATCTCCTCTTCAAAATTTCCTGATGAAAAAAGCCCATGCTTTGCATTTTTCCGACTTTCGTCCTATCTCAATTCTCCCGTTTTTATCCAAACTCCTGGAGAAACTAGTTTTCTTTCAGTTAAATCTCTACCTAAATAGAAATTGTATCCTGGATCCTCTCCAATCTGGTTTCCGATCGGGTCATAGTACGACAACAGCGTTGGTTAAAGTTACCGATGACATTCGACGAGGTATGGATAACAAACAGCTCACTGTGTTGGTATTGCTTGATTTTAGCAATGCGTTTAACACTGTTGATTTTGACATCTTATTGAGTGTGTTACGTTCTATTAACATATCTCCTCCGGTGATTGGCTGGTTTCATAGTTATCTTTATGGCCGACGGCAGCGTGTTCGCATCGAAGATGAGTTCTCATCTTGGTGCGAATTACGGGCTGGCGTGCCTCAAGGTGGTGTGCTGTCTCCTTTACTTTTTGCTATATTCATTAATTCTATCTCTCAAAATATTGCTTCTCTCTATCACATGTATGCAGACGATCTCCAAATCTACACTCAGTCAACTTTGTTAAATCTGCCTTCTGCTGTTGCCACCATCAACAATGACTTAGCGGCGATAAACCAGTGGAGTCAGCGTTATGGTCTAAAAATTAATCCGTTCAAGTCCCAGGCTATAGTTATTGGTGGTGGAGGGATGGTCTCCAGAGTTGACTGGAACAACCTACCCTCGGTGACATTAAATGACGTTGTCATACCCTACAGTAAATCTGTAAAAAATCTGGGGATATATCTAGATTCTACCTTGTCGTGGTCGCAGCAGTTAAAACAAGTGAGCAAAAAAGGTGTTTGCTACTATGGGTTCACTTCGTCGTTTACGTTCTTTTCTCCCCATTCCCACCAAGATTATGTTAGCACAATCCTTACTTCTCTCTATTCTCGATTATGCGGACGCAAGTTACCTCGATTTAACTGAAGACCAACTGAACAAACTTGAGCGAATTCAAAATATTGCAATTAGGTTCATATTTGGTTTGCGCAAATATGATCATGTATCCGAATATCGTTTACAGCTCAAGTGGTTACCCATTCGCTTTCGCCGGAATTTGCAAACTGTATCTCTTCTGTACTGTGTGTTGTTCAATCCTTTGACTTCAAGCTACTTAAAGGAAAACTTTAAGTTTCTTGGTCATGATCGACCTGATAGAGTTCTTCGGTCAGCCGGCGAACTAATTCTAGAACCATGTTCATTTCGAACAAAATTTATGAAATATTCTTTTACGAGCCAAGCCATAAGGTTATGGAATGAACTTCCACTCCAAATTCAACGAGCACAAACTTTGGAAAGTTTCAAAAGTGACGTCAAGAAGCATTACCTAACACTTTGTGGTTATTGATAACCAATTCTAGCAACAGATTTATATTTATTTATTTATTATCTATGTATACATATGTATGTGTATATATTTATATATATAAACCTATTTATTAATACGTATGTTTATTTTATTATTATTATTTTTTATGTATTATTGTGGTATTTTAACAATATATAGTTTAGTTTATTTAGATATTAGAATGTAAGTGTAACATAAAACGCACCACCTCCTACTGTTCTTAATTCCAGTTTCTCCTTAGCCCAAAGGTTGTCTGGAAGAGATCGCTCTTTAGCGATAAGACCGCCTTATTGTACATACGTATATATTAAGTTTCCTCTGTAATGTATTTATTCGTTGTATATGTGTGGTGTACAATAAAGTATATATAAATAAATAAATAAATAAATAGTATAAGTATTAATCAGACATACAAAAATAAAAATTTCCTATTGATTGCAGCAAGTATCCAGATGTGTTGAGCAGACTGCCAGCCTTGCTGAAGGACTCTGTGAAGAATTGTGTGCTGGACTGCGAGTCCGTAGCCTACGACACCGTCAACAAGAAGATACTGCCTTTCCAGGTACACCAACCTCATTCCACCCACCACATAAAATAGCTCCAGCAAGATTCTACAATGCATAAACCAGTGGGTGCTGTAAAGTACCCAACAAATGTGGAGTTGAAAATAATTTAAATGTTAAAAAATCCGTAATAATAGTTTAATTCAATTAGTTGTCACCATTTTCAACTGACTTTAAAAAAAAGAGGAGGTTCTCAATTCGACTGTATGTTTTTTAATGTGTGTTACCTCGGAACTTTTTCTGGGTGAAACCATTTTGATGATTATTTTTATTTGAAAGCTGGAGCTTCTCATGAGATCCCATATAAACTTGATCAAGATCTGACCAGTAGTTTTTCAATAATCCTTAAGAAAGCGTATTTAATTGTCTTCGACTACATCGATAATGTTCTTATTACATTTATATCGACGTCGCTTGTACAAATTTTTTAATTTTACCACTTGTAACATTAGTGAACTGTGTACCAGTTAAAACCAGATCATGATTTTCAATAACTATTGTAAATAGTAGTTATTGAAAATTATTCCTATGATTAATTAGTGGCGGCGCTGTCGTCGCGCCGCAAGCGGGACTCACCGAAGCCTAAACCGCGCTACTAAACTAATGCGCTGTATATAAAACAGCTCCGAAATTACTCACGGAGCATTGTCAGCTCCCCGAACTGATCACTTTACCCGGAAGGAGATTTCTCCTTTTATTTCCACGTTTACAAATTTATTGCTGGTTCTGGTTCGGAAAATAGATTTTAGAGTAATACCAGGCGGTCCCATAATGAACTGGCCTGATATAGTTCAACGCGACATGTCGCTACATGTTGTGTTGCATTAAATAGTACGTTTATCGTGCACTTAATATAAGAAACATGCATCGACATGAAATGCTTAGTCTTAGTTTAACAGGCATTTGAATAACGAGAGTCGCGTATTTTTTCAAAATGTCGAAAACTGAGTATCGAAGTGTCATAAAGTTTCTGTTTAAAGAAGGTTAATCCCCTGCCCAAATAAAAGAACGATTGGATGGCGTGTATAAGGAGTCTGCCCCCTCCTATAGCACAGTGAAAAATTGGGTGAAAGAGTTTCGCCTCGGGAGAGAAACCGTCGAAGACTTTGGCCACGACGATCGACCTGTGGAAGTGCTCACTCCCGAAACGATTGCTCTTATCGAAGAGGAGGTTCTGAGTGACCGCCGTTTGAAGATTAGAGAAATTGCAGCAAGGCTTGGGCTCTCTAAGAGTACCGTTCATCGCGCGATCCATGAACATCTTCACATGAAAAAAGTGAGTGCAAGATGGGCACCGAAACTTCTTTCAGCGGTACAGAGACAGGAAAGAGTGCGCTGCGCTTCGGAGTTTTTGGATCTTTGTGGCGAAAATCCAAAGACTGTGATCGAGCGGCTAGTGACTGGTGATGAAACTATGATCTTGTATTATGATCCACAAAGCAAGCGCGAGTCAATGGAATGGCGTTATAAGGGTGAAAAGCCCCCTAGAAAGGCAAAGGTGCAACAATCGACTAAAAAACTGATGTGCACAATATTTTGGGATTTTCAAGGCATTTTGATGGTGGATTTTAAAGAACGTAATACAGTCGTGAACGGCGAATATAAGCTTCTTTAATATATAAATTACGAGACAAGATAAAGGAAAAACGAAGAGGCAAGTTGTCTAAAGGTGTCCTGTTGCTCCATGACAACGCCCCTGTTCATACCGCTGGTGTTTCGAAGGATGCAGTTCGTCAATGCGGGTTCACAGATTTTCAACATCCACCTTTACAGTCCAGACATGGCCCCGTCCGACTATTATTTATTTCCAAATTTAAAGCGGGACTTAAGAGGAAGAAAATTTTCAAGCGATGAAGAGTTGCAGACGGCCGTCTTCAGTCATTTTGAGGATAAAAAATGTGATTATTTTTATAAAGGTTTAGAGATGTTGATTCACAGATGTCAGAAGTGTGTTAGTATTCATGGTGATTATATTGAAAAATAAAATTGGTTTCGTTTCATTTCCTTCATTGGTTCATTTTTAGGCCAATTCATTATGGGACCGCCTACTAGTATTTCGAATGACAGAGGTGTCCTGGGAAGAACCAGCAAGAAACGCAGAGGGTCTTTAAAAAAAATAGAACAGCTTACAATCATTAAAGTTATACAATAATTAACAACACGAAACAAATTAGAAATCTCGTTCACGGAACAAGTTATATATGTGGTAGAGCCACGCTGCAGCTATATTGTGGCAGCACGAATGGCGTCGGCTCGACCGGGGGCCACGCTCTCACAGAATATCAGCGTAAAATAGCACCTTAATGCTGTTGTATTTCGTATAGTGAGCATATTGATCCCGAGACCCTTTTTACTGGAAACGAGGCATTTCTTATTTTCCTGCATTTTCTTACTCTTCAGGGGTGACAACGCTTCTGCGTTTTGATATTCTTAATCGAGGATAAATGTCTATGGGCCACAGCATCCACTTACCAACAAGTGGACTGTGCGCTCGTTTATCATTTTTATTCTATAGAAAAGTGCATTAAAAACATTACCAAACAACAATAATATCTGTATGTAATTAGGTGAAGAACTTATATTATGTCCCATTTTATGTGATATTTAAAGCAAAAAAATGTGTCACCTAGACAATTTACCTATTATGTCATAAAACGCGATTAACAATATACGGGGTTTGTAATTGTGCAGGCGGTGGGCTAGGCAGCCAACTATCATTTTTTTTATAATTTTTTTATATTTATAAATTCATAATTATTTCATCAAATATGATCCAAGTAACTTTCTGCTCTTTAGATGCTGCCTCAAGGATTACACAAAAAAGTTTAATGCAAAAACAGTCTCTTTCATCGATTTCCTTATGGGCAGGCGGGCCAGTAATCGCAGTATTTTTATTTTTTAGTTGTTATTAAGAACGCTGTTGCCCATCTCCTGGTTTTTTCCTTCCGTCGCCTTTTATGATACCCGTGGCCATGGGACGATATGTGGTAGTGGATATTTTTACATTGCCACTACACGTTGACCGACGTAAATGTTTGTAACTCTGCCTAGTTTTTATATTATCACACATACCCACACGCCATATAAACCGTACACAAACATACCACATGAACACATATAGGGGTACATTCTCTAGTGCCTTCTATTATAAAATATCATAAAATGTATCATTTGTTTATCATCATCACCACCACAATTATCATGATCAAGAACACTGCTAAATAAGGTCTCTCCTAAGAAATGACTACCGAAGGTGAAAAAAATTCTCGAATGACAGCCTTGTACTCTAGTACATTATTAACGTGGTAAAGCCATGCTGCGGCGATATTATAGTTGCAGCACGAATGGGTCGGCTCGGCTAGGCGGGCGGATAGGCCACACTTTCGTAGAATACCAACTTAATACCTCTGTGTTTCGTATGGTGAGTGAGGGAACCGAAGACCTTTTTTTACTGGAAACTAGGTATTCCATCTCAATCCTCAGGGGTGATGACGCATTAGAATTTTGATTCTTAATAAAAGATGTCTATGGGTCACAGCATCCACTTACCATCAGGTGGACTGTGTGCTTGTTTGTCACCTTTATTCTATAAAAATTCAGGGCAATTCAATAGACATAATAAAAGTATTTAGAGTACAAAAAATGTGTGCGTGCAATCTATGGAGCAGGGTATACGGATAGCTGTAAGCCCTTCTTTAAAAAGTACAATATCTAATATCTGAACACTTTGAAAGGCAAATAGATGTAATTGAACGAAATGTAGCTCCTACAAATAAACATAAATTATACTTACCTCAATGCAGGCTCAAATTGTATGAAAGGAACTCTTACGTAAATGCTATAAAGGTGTATAACAAAATACCCAACGACTTTAAAGAGTTACCTTTAACCATGTTTAAAAAAAGTTGATACAATGGTTAAAAGAAAAATGTTTTTACGACCTAAATAAATTTATGTGTTTTTGTGGAAAATAAATCCGAAGTCAGTAATATTATATATATATATCTAATAATTAATTAATTACAAATAAAATGAAAGTATGGACATTAACAATTAAGAATAATCATTAAACAATGTGACATTTTAATTGAATTCTCACTTGTTGTAAATTTTTTTTTGCATGTATGCTTATAAAATATTTGCACACCATATAAAGTGGTAGAATGTAAATGGACCATTATACATAATTTAAGGTCATACCTTATTGTACACATACATTCTGGCAAAAAAATGAATTTGAATTTGAAAAAAAAAAACAAGATGAAGTGTAGGGACGTTCTCGCAATAGATGGATTGACGACCTGGTAAGATATGTAGCAAATCGATGGATGTAGGTGGCACTCCTTTGACTTCCAGGACCGTGTTTCGTGGTATTCCTTGGGGGAAGCTTATGGATTAAAATGTGTCATTGTAAATCAATAAAGCATAATTGAATTGTAAATGTGCAGATTCTGTCGACGCGCAAGCGCAAGGACGCGGACGAGGCGCAGATCAAGGTGCAGGTGTGCGTGTTCGTGTTCGATCTGCTGCTGCTCAACGGCCGCCCGCTCGTGCGCCAGCCGCTCGCCGAGCGTCGCAGCTTGCTGCGCGAACACTTTAACGAGTGCCCTGGTGAGTGCTACACCCCCCCCCACTCCTCCCCTCCGGCTACAATGAAATTGATAATTAACCATGCGCTCAGCGGTGAAAGAAAACATCCTGGGAAGGAAGCATCACCTCAGATCTAATTCGAAGTTCTATATTTTAATTTTGCAATGTCTTAAATCGACCGTAAAATTAGATAATCTATACATATAAAATTTACCATGTAGTGGAGTGTAAGAACATCCACTAGCCCATATCATCCCGCGGGTGTCGTGAGAGTCGACAGAGGGAAACAAGTCAGGCAATAGGCGGCAACGTCTTCCTAATAACGACAAAAACAAAAACTGCGATTGCCGATCCACTTGTCAGGCGTGGCAACTATGACAAAATCCTTCCCTGGGAGGTAATCTGTGGAGGAGAGCAATATTTAACAGTGGAATTTTCATTAAAAATACTTTTACCATTGGCTATAATGGTAAAAGTAAAACTGACCAAAGTTCCATCGCAGGAGAGTGGCAGTTCGCGGAATCACGCGACTGCAGCACCATGGAGGAGGTGCAGCAGTTCCTGGAGGAATCCATCAAGGGCTCGTGCGAGGGGCTCATGGTCAAGATGTTGCATGGAGAAAACTCCAAGTACGACATCGCCCGACGATCGCGTAATTGGCTTAAGGTACCATCTTCATAATAATAATAGTAATAATAATAATATAGTAACCCCACCAGCAGGCTTGGTGACGGCAGGGTCTTCGCGGGCCTAGCAATCGGCACCCGCCACTGGTGAAATACGCCGCATGCGTTGGACAATCTCAATGAATAGCAACGCATTGCGGGCGTATTATAGGGCGATAGAGGGAGAAATTGGAGGTTTTGCGTATCGGGCAAGGATGCATCGACTTTTTGCTGAGCTGGAGCCATCTGTAACCGTCACCGAGCAAATCAGCCTCTCGGGTCATCTGAGGAGGCTGGGACTCCGTGACGGACCGCTCCAGGCTCAAATGCAGAAGGCGGTGCTCCTCGATACCGCCCGCATCGTCCGCCGGTTTCTCTCCCTTTCCCCCTAACCCTCGGCCGTTTGATCTCCCCTGCCGAGGGCCTCCATCTGGTTGGGATTTTATTTATTTATGTATTACTTATTTATTTGTGCTGGTATATGGAATATATATTTATATATATTTGTCATTTCCTTTTATATATTTATTTATTCATTCAGCCCAACCAGATGAAAATACACACTACTAATACCACATAATATAATAATAATGTTTTATTAACCCTTATAACATTAGACTGATTCGCCTCGTTGGTCTAGTGGTCTTAAACGCGATTGCTAACCATGAGGTCCCGGTTTCGAATCCGTGATCTAACTAAAATCAGTTATTGGGATTATATGTAACAAAGTCACAATAACAGCCCAGCGTTAGGAAGCTGTCGATGTTCCCCCCGTGCCTCTCAAAGCACGTAAAGCCGCTGGTCCTGCGCATCTCCGGTCATCTCGAAAAAGCTTCCCATTGTACTATGCGAGTGAGGGAACAGAGAGTGCACCAGTGCTTGCGCATGCCTTCGGGTACTATAACCCTGTCTTGCGTAGACGGCTAGTCTTCGTTGAGGCTGGTCACAGTGATTAACGTCGGTCTGTGGGACATTCATCATCATCATCATTATTACAGCCCTTCACAAGTCCACTGCTGAACATAGGCTTCCCCCAAGGAATGGCACAAACACGATCCTGAGCCACCTACATCCATCGACTTCCTGCATGTCTTACCAGGTCGTCACTCCATCTAGTGGGGGGTCGCCCTACACCCGCTCCGGTTAGGCTCCCACACCCTTTTTTCCCCATCGGCTATCGGTTCTTCGAGCTATATGGATTAAAAACTAAACATATATCAAACTTGTAATTTGATAATTAATTATAGTTTTACTGAGAGGTGAACGACTGTAGTTGTAATAATATTAACTGTGTCGCAGCTGTCTGGGTCATCATCCATCCTGCGAGCTGGTGAACATGTACAAGTTATTAAGATGTAATGGAAAAAACCATGTGTAACTGCTGCACACATTGTTTTTTTCCATTAGACTTTCAGACGCGTTAGAAGTGAAACCTTCAGAAAACTAAACTTCGAAAGAATGGGACGAATACAGAGTATTAGGAGTTGGATAATTGTAGTGTTTATGTAATTAAAATATAAATAGATTTATAATAAGCACTGTATATTTATTGTATTCTATCTCAGTCTCTCGCGGGCTCAATCCTATAGATGTATGTTTCTCTGTTTTTGGTGGTGCTTTTTCGTTTCATCAATTTTCAAATGACAATTCTAAAGAAGTTTTTATTTTAAAATATTTTTTTCTATTATTAAAATTAGGTGAGCATGCAATGTAAATTAAAAATATCTATCATGAAAAGTAAGTTTAAAGGTGAGTGTATAGAAATAAAAAATTTAATCGAGAATATATGTATGTCTATGAGCCGCAGCATTCACTTACCATCAAGTGGACTGTGTGCTCGTTAGTCACCCTTATTTTTTAAATTTAACTACCCCATATCATCCCGCGGGTGGATAGTCTTACGCCGCCATTAAATGTTCAAATATCCTCTTTACGAGACAATCTGTGGGGAGGACTTGTATTTAGTACATAGGTGTTAAGAAGCGAGTTGACAACCGCAAAATTTTCATTATTTTGAAATGTTATCTGGATGCTGCTGCGCTTTTCGTGTTCCACTTTACCTATTATGCCTCTTACTCTTACACACGAGAGTGCATTTTAGTGGGTATTCACTGGAACTACAGTTAATTCTAATGGGAAAATAAAAGATTGTGTGTGCTGTCAGCTGAAGAAGGACTACCTGGAGGGAGTGGGGGACAGCATCGACGCGGTGGTGATTGGAGCGTACCACGGACGCGGGCGCAGAGCCGGGCGCTACGGCGGCTTCCTGCTGGCCTGCTACGATGCGGAGGCTGAGCAGTACCAGTCGCTGTGCAAGCTGGGCACCGGCTTCTCCGACCAGGACCTGGAGAACCTCGCCACCACGCTCGATAAACACCTCATCGACGGGCCCAGGAACTACTACAGGTTAGATACTAACAGAAATAATCGGGGTAGGACTGTGTAAATTTCGGGATGTAGATGATAGATATGCAGATGCAACACTGAACTGTATCCGCGATTTTATTATTATCAGTTTTATCACCTGCCTCCCATTATGTAAGCAAATTTAAAGACATTCATGTCAAAATATTTTTTTTTCCTAAAAGAGAGCGAGCTGAACACAAAGAATTGGAAGCCCCACCCCACTTTAGACTCCAAATTAGTCATAGCCCATATCATGGGCACCATAAGTACAGTTATTACTTTTAATTACGCAGATAAAATTAGTCAAATTCTCCAAAACAATGAATTATTCCTATCTTAGGGCAGTCTAAAACCTCAACTGATTTCTGTTCAAGCGTTTATTGAATATTGTCACAGACCTCGTCACTTGAGGCGCCGTCCGATATGGTCCGCTTACAAGGCGGATCCAATGTATAAATCGATGCCCTTGACATCTTCCACGTAGTCAAATAAGTCCAGGGGTTTCGGCTATTTCGTTTGTAGAGAGCACATGCAGGGTCCTCAAAAAGAATTATAAAGTATGGATAGTGCCCACGGCGTCGTTACCGACTCATGAATACTTTTTGATGGATTTCAATTTGAGAAATATATTTTATAAGTAAACTTAACGACCGTTCACAAGAGCCATGTTACGATGGCTTCTATACACAAGTGTGACTTCGAAACTTTAACACCTTCCCCATAGTTCAGATTAGGCCCCTTTAGGTTATTATTATTTCTATTTTTGAGAAATAGGTTCAGGGAATGAAATTTACAGATGACGAAGGAGTGAAGTCGGTAATTTCTGCCTATTTTGAGGGTCTTGACAAAACATTTTTTCTAAAAATATAAATAAGTTCTTTGAACGGTCTGAGAAGTGTATTAGGGTCAATGGAAAATATATCAAAAGGAATAATAATTTCATGTTTAATTTTACCCCTTTTCCCTTCTATTCCTCGAACTTTTAGACCTCTCCTCGTATATGTAGATGTGTAAAAGCCATTACATTCACTTACCATCGGGTGGGCTGTGTACTCATTTTGTAACACTGATTTTACTTAAAAAAATTGTTATTTGTGATATTGATGTGTGTGTACAGCTATGATGCATCGCACGCAGCGGACGCGTGGTTCAGCGCCGCGTGCGTGTGGGAGCTGCGGTGTGCCGACCTGTCGCTGTCGCCCGCGCACCGCGCCGGCATTGGGCTCGTCGACCCTGAGAAGGGCATCTCGCTGCGCTTCCCCAGGTGCCGTCGCTGATGCTGCACACGACGACAAAGCATGTGTCACACATGACATGACTCACTTCATTGTTATATGACACGACATAACTTCATATGACACAGCATAACACAACATTACGTGACACAATAAAACACAGCAGTATCATTTGACATAACGTAACACAACATCACATGACACATAAAATATAAAACAGTATCAATTGACACAACATAACACAACATTATGTGATACAATAAAACACAAAGCAAGTATAACAAAATGCAATTTTATATGACACGACATAACGTCATAACGTTATATGACACAGCATAACAACATTATCGGACACAATAAAACACAGCAGTATTACATGACATATAACACAACATCATATAATATTATAACACAATGCAATTTTATATGACTCAACATAACGTCATATGACACAACATAACACAACATCTAGTGATACATTATAATAATATAATATGATATGATACGACATAGCGTCAATGACACAGCATAACACAGCACCATGTGACACATTATAACACAATATAGTATTATACCGTCCTTCAGTGTAGTGGCGGTCTTCCGTGTAGTGGCGGTTTAGAATATCCACTACCCCATATCTTCCCGTGGGTGTCGTAAGAGGCGACAGAAGGAGACAGGCAGGAGATAGGCAGCAGCATTTTTCTGATAACAACTGTGTTATAATAAAAAACTGCGGTTGCCAACCCGCTCGCCAAGCGTAGCAACTATGGCAAATATCCCCCCATGAATAACGACGCAAACAAACGCCCCCCAGTCCCCGGTGGCCCCGCTATTCCTGGCTATGGTGGCGACCATGGTAACGGTGGGGCGGGGGTGCTAAGAATCTCCGGTGGAGGTTCGGTTGCCACCTACGACGACTCGACCTGGCAACATATAACGCACGCACCCTGAAGACTGATGAGAAGATACGGAGCTGGAAGAAGAGGTAGACAAGTTGCGCTGGCATATTATTGGATTATCCGAGGTCCGAAGAGAGGGGGAGGACACGGTAATCCTCGAGTCCGGCAACTTGTTCTATCACCGGGAGGGCGACCATCTGTCCCAAGGAGGTGTTTGGATTTATCGTCTACAAGTCTCACGTCAATAACGTTGTAAAGATTGAGAGTGTGTCGACGAAGGTCGCGTACCTGATACTCAGAATCACCAAACGGTATTCTCTGAAGGTCATGCAGGTTTACGCACCAACCTCGGCACATCCCGATGAGGAGGTGTAGGAAATGTATGAGGATATTTCCAGAGCCATGCATTCCTCCAAAACCCATGGGAGACTTCAACGCAAAACTAGGCACAAGAGAAAACGGTGAGCTGAAGTTAGGGAAATTTGGAGTAGGGCAACGGAACCGAAGGGGCCAGCAGCTGGCCGACTTTATGGAGAAAGAGGGACTCTTTATGATGAACTCTTTCTTCCAGAAACGGCCCCACAGGAAGTGGACCTGGTCGGGCTCCGACGGTTCGACAAAAAATGAGATTGACTTCATTATGACGACCAGGCGCCAACTGTTCAGTGATGTGTCAGTGATCGCAAGGGTGAAAACTGGCAGCGATCACCGAATGGTTAGAGGCACACTGAACCTAAACGTTAAATTGGAGAGGTCTCATCTAATGAAGTCAACGCTCCGTCCCCCTCGTGCTCTGATCCAGAATCCCGAAACCTTTCAGCTCGAGTTACGTAACCGCTTTCAGTGTCTGGAAGATTGCAATGCATTGGACGATATGAATGACAAGCTCGTGGAAACTGTCCATGCGGTCGGAGCTAAGTTCTGCAAGACCCGCCGCAGAAGAACACAAAAACTCTCCGATCACACTCTTAATCTCATGGCTGTTAGACGGGAGATGAGGCTGCAATCGTCAACAGATTTGACAGCATACAGGCAACTGAACAGACAGATATCTAAATGCAGGCGGCGAGACTTACGCAACTTTAATACTGCTCGTATTAAAGAAGTATCGAGCGGAACCAGGGCTCCAAAGTCTTTGTCAGATATCTGTCTGCCAGAAAGAGCCAACTGTCAAAGCTGAAGACTGAATGTGGCAGCATCATTTCCGGGACACCTGAGATTTTGGATTTTGGATGAATATATCCGCAGTAAAGCCAGTGACCGACGTAGCCCAACGGATTAGTAAGCCGAAGTGGCAACGGGCTGGCCATGTAGCTCGAAGAACCGATAACCGATGGGGAAGAAAGGTTCTCGAGTGGCAGCCTCGTACCGGTAGGTGTGGTGTAGGACGACCCCCCATTAGAGAGAGTGACGACCTGGTGAGACATGCAGGAAGTCGATGGATGCAGTTGGCTCAGGACCGTGCTTTGTGGCATTCCTTGGGGGAGGCCTATGTTCAGCAGTGGACTTGTGAAGGGCTGTAATGATGATGATGATAGTATTATACAACGTGGCACTACAATGGTGACTTTAATTTAACAGACGGGTAGGGCTAGTGCCTATTAATCATATTAATGTTGATAGGTTAAAATAGCTAGTAAATTGCATAAAAAAATACAATTAAATAATAAAAAAGTAACTAAAATTGTTATCACCCTTGCAAAAATTCATTCATGAAATTACTTACCTAGTTAACTCGGAGCGGCCACGCGTCGTATCGCGCGCTGGCAACCGCGCATCGCGTCTTGTCCGTCCGTCCGTCCGTCTTGTTGTCCGATCGGACTGATCACCTACTCGTGATCGGTCCGATTCTTTGACGGCTTTTTAGGGGGGTTCAAGTATTGCGTAACGCTATATTTAAAGATTTTTGACCCTCCCTCCGTGTAACGTTTTCTGTACGACCACCCTCCCCCTCCCTAAACGTTACGTAACACTCAAGAGACCATTTTTACCTAAAAGTCATAATTACGTTGCCCAAAGTACCGGAAAGTGGCTAACATACCTTTTCTCTCTCGTGACCTTCACCTTGAACTCTCGTATGACATTATTTATATTTTCTACAAACTTTTCTTTATTTTTTAGTTTTTCTTTAGCCGTTTTTCAAATTTCATTGGCATTTTTGGCACAGTTGAGCTGGTAAGTCAGTCGAACTTTTATGGACCAAGAACAGCTGATAATGCAAATCTCAGTCTTGAAGAGATTACAATATGAACTCACTTTAAACAACGCTGACTATAGCAATGTGCTTCTGCGTAAACACTAACGCATACTGATAACAAAAAATAAAAACAACGTACCATAAAATCGAGGGAATCCCCGTAAATCATAAACGAAAGGTGTTGCACACTTGGGTGTTGCACACTTGGGATTAATCTGTCTTTATTTTAAATAAGATCACCGTGTTGGCGGATACAAAGAGCTAAAGCTTTCTATTTTTTCATATTGTTTTTCATATTTCTAGTGCGTCATTTCGCGCATTACCTGTACAAACCTGCGTTAGACCTATCGTGCCTCACGCAAGTGTAGCCTTTGCACATGCGTATAGGACTTACTTAGAAAGTTCAAAACTTTTTCATCCGTAAAGCCACCGGAGCGCGGTAGTATCTATGGAATTTAGATTTGCACATCTGATAACTTCCCTTTATCTCTGAATACTTCAAGATGTTTCAGCGCTACCTTGATATCGCCAAAACCCGTTAGTGGCAAATGCAGTTAACTACATTTTAGTACTAAAGGTCTCTGCGTAGAGCGCGTAACGTACTCATAGAACTAGCACGGTTGCACGATCGCGTCGAGCCAAAGGTTGCAGGCGCCTGGCAGACTGCATAGCACACTACGCCCGCACCGAACCAACCGCACGCTCGCGCACCTCCACACCACCGCACCCCCGCACCGCACACACTGACTACACAACTCAACAACCACCACAGAGCCGACGTGCGGCTTGCTATCAACACCAAACCATAAACCTTCATCATCGTCCTCATCACCATTGCCTCCCCTCTTTTTATTGAAGCCCTGATACAGATGAACATATAAGACCCGTATTCTTACAACATAACCCAACATCACACAAAATAGATGTATCACAACACAACCCAACATCATGTAACACAATATAACACGATGTAATTACAAATTGAGCACTGTAAGAATTCCTAAAATCTAGTAAATTTAAATTTCCTAAGCATTAGGATTGATATTAGTAAATTATAAATAACAGGTTGTTAAAACTTTTCTTCCGCATTAGAGTTCATCTGAATAGGCACTCCTCTATTCCATTTAAATAGCAGCACATGTATTGCAGCTGTCATGTGTTTCAGTATAATTATAAAGCAAAAATTATACTGATTGTGACCAAAGACTAACATCACTACCTTTTAATGAGACATTCTAGCTTCTTCCTCAAAGGTGACAACGCATCTATTACCTTCTTAGGCTCAGAAGGGTTGGAGCCCAGAGCCAAAAAGCCAGTTATTAAAAAAATATTACCTTCTTCATGTAAAGTTGTTTACAGCTTAATACAATTACTTAACACGTGATAGTCACACTGCAACTATATTATGGTAGCACTGAGTCGGCTCGACCTGGCAACACTCACACAAAATACCAGCGTGAGTTAACAACTTGCTGCTGCTGTGTTTCATATGATGAGTGTAGAAAATCAGAAACACTACTGGAAACGAAGCATTCTATCTTAATCCTTACAGGTGACAACGCATCTTTATTTTGATTCTTAATCGAGGATAAATGTATATATCTATGGACCGCAGCATCCACGAACATAATATTATATATACATAGTCAATTTCATTTTAAGTCTATAATATTGTAGCATTATTTACCATCAAATATACTATGCGCTTGTTTGTCACCCTTATTCTATAAAACAAGTTATATCGTAGTAAGCATTAACCATGGATCATAAGCTGAATATTTTTATTTCAACAGAACAGAGAGCACCATCAACTAACGTAACATAATGAATTTCTCTTATGTCAGGTTCATTCGCGTCCGCGAGGACAAGACACCCGAGGAAGCGACGTCTGCGCAGCAGATCGCTCGCATGTACCTGTCACAGGATCAGGTCAAGAACCAGGCCGCCAAACCAGTCAACGACGACGACTTCTACTGATACTGTATAATATTGTATAAACATGTATAACAATTTATTTGTTTTTCTTTTCATAAAACCTTTTGATAAATTGATCAAATAATTAATAGAAAGTTCAGTGAAATCCAGTACCCCGTAGTATCGTCCCGTGGGTGTCGTAAGAGTCGACAGAGGGAAACAAGTCAGATGAGCTGCAGCGTCTTCCTAATGACGACAAAAATAAAAAACTGCGGTTTCCAACCTGCCTGCCAGTACATTAACGTCCTGCATGTCTTACCAGGTCGTCACTCCATCTAGTGGCGTGGCCCCCACACTGCTTACCGTTACCAGATTGTCGGTTGCCGCTCCAGAACCTTTTTCCCCATCGATTGGCGCTTCTTCGAGCTATAATGCTGGCCCATTGCCACTTCAGCTTAGTAATCCGTTGAGCTGTCGGAGTTGAGTCTCGCCAGCAATGCGAAGTCAGGAATGTTCAATTGGAAAAAGCCAAAATTACCAAGTTTAAAAATTAGGTGCTCGAAAATTATTGAGGTCGGATATAGATGATGGTAATATTGTGGGAATTATCGGGTCCAGGACTTTACCTTACTATAAGGTTCATACGGATTTTTTTGTTCTTTATCAGTTATATATTATACATAAGTCGAATTTGTACTAAAACCGAATCGGTACGCCCCAAACTAGTGCTTATGTAAAGCCGTAGGCTTTTCTGTTCGGCTTATTGGAGCAGCCTCAGCCGCTACGACTCGCACAGATGTCTACAATTTGCTACACAAGGGCGAAACGGTTGCACTTCTCGCAGCGCCGAAGCCGTTGCAGAAGTAACTGTGTCAATATACCCGTGTAAAAACAATTTGATTAGCACTTAATTACCAAATAAACTCTACACCTGTAATCTCATTTTGATTCTATTCTGATTTTCAGAAGACCTAATTTTCGCATCGGCTTTATTTTGAATAACGACTTTATTTTTATTAGGGGCGCTTTGTCATTGTCTATACTTGCAGCTATTAATTCGTCGCTATTAATATTTAGACAATAATTAATATTTAGATATGAATGACAAGCTCGTCGAAACTGGAGCTAAATTTTGCAAGACCCGCCGCAGAAGAACAAAAACTCCCAGATCACACTCTTAATCTCATGGCTGTTAGACCGGAGATGAGGCTGCAATCGTCAACAGATTTGACAGCATACAGGCAACTGAACAGACAGATCTCTAAATGCATGCGGCAAGACTTACGCAACTTCAATACTGCTCGTATTAAAGAAGCGATCGAGCGGAACCAGGGCTCCAAAGTCTTTGCCAGAGATCTGTCTGCCAGAAAGAGCCAACTGTCAAAGCTGACCGAGTGTGGCAGCATCGTTTCCGGGACACTTGAGATTCTGAGTGAGATTGAGAGGTTCTATGGGCAGCTGTACACATCATCGTTGGAGCCACACGCAAGTGTGAGTAACCATCCAAGAGCAAGTTTTATCCGATACTATTCCGATATCCCGGACGTCAATCTGAGCGAGATTAGAATGGCTCTCCAGCACCTTAAAAACGGCAAGTCCCTGGGCGATGATGGAATTACAGCGGAGCTTCTGAAAGCGGGTGGAACAGCGGTACTTGAAGTCCTTCAGAAGCTCTTCAACTCCGTCCTCCATGGTGGCACTACTCTGGAGGCGTGGTGCAGAAGTGCGGTGGTCTTTTTCTTTAAGAAGGCGACAACGCTCTCTTGAAGAACTACAGACCGATTTCCCTTCTGAGCCGCGTCTACGTGCTGTTATCGAGAGTCATTACGAATCGTCTCGCACGTAGACTCGACGACTTCCAGCCTCCCGAACAAGCCGGTTTCCGAAAAGGCTTTAGTACCATAGACCACATACATACCCTGCGGCAGATTGTACAGAAGACCGAAGAGTACAATCTGCCACTTTGCCTGGCGTATGTGGACTATGAGAAAGCCTTTCATTCCGTCGAAATTTGGGCGGTACTACAGCCCTTCAGCGGTGCCAAGTTGACTGTCGGTATATCCCAGTACAGAACCAGAGTTCGAAACCTATCCAACTGCAGAAAGGTGTAAGACAGGGACCTCAATAGTGTCTCCCAACGGATAGGTCTTAGATGGACATAACAAAGATCATATTTAATGTCCATGTCACACCTATGCCGGTAGTTGTTGGGAGCACTAAGCTCGAAGTTGTTGACGAGTACGTTTACCTGGGACAAATAGTCCGACTAGGTAAGTCCAACTTCGACCGAGAGGTCAATCGACGGATTCAACTCGGCTGGGCAGCGTTCGGGAAATTACGACACATCTTCACGTCAGGTATACCTCACTACGAAAACTCGATTGTACCACCAGTGCGTGTTGCCAATTATGACTTACGGATCTGAGACGTGGTCCTTCACTGCTGACCGTATGAGGACACTCAAGGTCGCTCAGCGAGCTATGGAGAGGGCTATGCTCAGAGTTTCTCTGCGTGATAGACTTAGATAGCCGGTCATGTAGCTCGAAGAACCGATAACCGATGGGGAAGAAAGGTTCTCGAGTGGCAGCCTCGTACCGGTAGGCGTGGTGTAGGGTGACCCCCCATTAGATAGAGTGACGACCTGGTGAGACATGCAGGAAGTCGATGAATGCAGGTGGCTCAGGACCGTGCTTTGTGGCATACCTTGGGGGAGGTCTATGTTCAGCAGTGGACTTGTGAAGGGCTGTAATGATGATGATGATGAATATTTATTGTATATCTATTATCGTCACTGCGTTGCAAGCAGTTCGTCTCGGTGAAAATTTTAGAGCACCTAATTTTTAAACTTAGCACCTAAAAACCCCGCCTCTTAAACGTAGTGATTATATTCTCTTTGGCACGATCTTTGATAGAAAATGAAACCAGAATTTCTGTGACATTGTTTTATTTTAGTTATACATTACTACTATTTATTAACAAGAAGTCTTGGAGGAATTGCAATCAGTGTCATGTTCATTCAAATTAGCTTATCTAAATTACATATAAAATATTGCATTAACCTAGGTATGTACTTCTGATCAATTAAATTTTTTTGTCATTAATAAGGTAGGTCAAAGTATATCTTTAATAAAAAATGTTTTCTTGCATTTCAAGAGTTGATTTGATGTTTATCAATTATTTTTGGTCGATTCTATATTTAGGCCTCCATGTCGTCGAAAAAAAACCACAGATAATATCTTATAATTACCCATACATACAACACATACCCATATCACTCCAAATAAACTACAACCTGAAACCTTGAACGCCGATCTCATAAAATTATCAACTAAACTGGCCTAAGTGTATAACCTAAAGGTTTTTCCTTCCCTTACTAAAATAATGTTCATATAAAAATCATACTTTTCTAAACATTTACAAAAATATCAAAGGTTAAATTATTTAGTTAAAATTTTATGAATAAAAAAGTAGAAAAACTCCATATTATGGCACAGATTTCTTTAACATTTTAATTTTGCAAAGATTTGTGCAATTAATTAATAAATTTAAAATGATTATATTACCTACAAGAAAATATTATTTTCCAATATGAATTCAAAGGTTTGGATTCTTAATTAATTATTAGCTGCATGCAAGTTTTTGGCATAGGCCTAGTCTAACTCGGTCGCATCTACTTTAAGTAGTTATATTACCTACATTCAAATACTTTAATAGATTTTGATACATTAACAGATTATCGTCACAAATGTTTAATTTTTAATGAGTAAAAAATATTATTTAAAAATAATAAATAGGTACCTAATATTTTTGGGGCTGAAAAGTTTTATTATACTAGTAGATAATTATTGTGCAATCGACATAAAGAAGTATATTATACGAGATCGAAACTTGTTAATTTTATAAGTTATCGAAAATAGTTTTCGATTATTTCCTTACTTTCGATAAGCTGCCAAAGTTGATATTATAACCTATAAAAATATATCTAAAATTCGAAGATATGTACGAGGTGTAGAGTTAAAGTTAATAAGTAGAAAGTTTCGTAATAATATACGAGTACATAATATTATTAAAATCTTCAAAATTAAAATCTAGGTTTCGTCAGTTCAATTGCGTTCTTACGATCTACTTCTAGATTGAAAACACGAGTGTTGTGCGATTCATATATCGATAGTCGTAATTTTAATTATCTATATTGTAATTAATTTGAATGATTTTTTTGCCTTAAGTGCTCCAAGGCACACGTATTCGTAAGTTTCTTAATGAAGTGATAATTACATTTAATTTCAATAGGAATATATTGTCTTTTGCGAAATCACTACACTTAGTTTGTATTGTTTTACATATAAAGTAACATTTATTCTACCGATTTATTAAAACAGTATATTTCTAGACTTTTAAATTAAATTCAGAATAAATATCAAATGCATATTTACATCTTAGATCTATCAGGGAATTTATTTTCGTATTTTTATTAAGTATATGTATATATGTATGTATTTATTCATGTATATTACGGTAAGGATAATTTTTATAAAACTCCAAAGACTTCTATGTATTTCTACTAGACGGGATCTGTAGCCTCAATACATTGCACTCTAAGTTAAGGTCAAACCTCCGTAACTTCTTTAGTTAACTGCGAGCGGGCGAGAAAATTAGTACTTTGCATTTTTAACTGCCAACGTTGTTTTCGACACTAACACCGATTTTGTTTTATTTGACTAAGAAAACGCTTTTAATATTTATGTGCGCACTTGTCAACGTGATTTGAAGTTTATTTCAGATAAGTATGTAACGTTATCCTATTTTCCTCAAAACAGTAACTGTTGTAAATGTAAATCAACTGCGTGGTGTATTTACCGTGCCATCTACTGTGAATTGCAGGTCTAGTGGTATACATAGGAGTCTTTGGGAAACTTCTTCGAATTCCTTTGTCTGAAGAAGTTGATTTCAAACATGTTATTTTTGCGAGTTATCACAGGAGTGCAAGCCACGACGCAGTCGGATCTAGAGCCGCGCTGGCGAGCTCTCCTCCAGCAAGTTGGCTCGCTCCTGTAAGATAAAATTGCAAATATACGTTAGTTGGAATGCTACTAAACTTAGGGATTACATAGTTTAATTTACGCAGAGAGAATCCAGCATATTAAACACTAATTTTTGAGCTAGGTCTGGGCTGGATCCTTTTTGCACATACGCTACGGTACAAATATTATGTTACAAATATTATAAACATAAAAAACAATATTTATAAAAATATTGTTTTTTTTTGTTATAATGAACATGTCACCTTTGTAAAATGTCAATTTATGAGTTTATTAGTACTTTTACGTTTATTAGTAGCCTACTACATCATGTCACCATTCGTAAAATTTAAAAAATTTACTACAGCTTATGTAACAAAACAATTAGCATAAACTAACTAACTTTAGTCTAAAATCTTGAAATCACAAAATTCAATAATCCTTTTAAAGTGTATTTAACGTTACTATTCATGATATGATTAGTATGAAATAAATATAGCATATTCCCGTACACTTCATACGAATAAACGATACTAAAACTTTTCTGAAATATTTGACATATCTCATAGTCAAATCGTTAGTAACGTAAACGTTAACGGTTATTTCTGAAATATTAGCCATATTTGTATTTATAAGATTAGAAGTGGATGAACCACACTACGGATTCCTTTTAGTAGAATCAAGAAAAATTAAGAAAGTGTTTTTTCTTCATTATTTTGTGCATATACTCGTATTCTGGATGACCTTTTTTACTGGCTGGAAAAATAGTGTGTAGTATGTGAACGGAGTAGAAGCCTATGGCGCTGACATTTTACCAAAAATAAAAACAAAAATTTTGAATTAAATAAATAAATTAATTAAAATCTATCGAAATTCAAATCATGTCTACCCTACTAATTTAGTAGGCATCATTGACGTTGTCACTTCGCAGGGTCACAGGTCAAGGGCAAAGGGCAAAGTAATTGTTAAAAAAAATTTCAAACGTTTAATTCAAACTTTTTATTTTAATTTTTTTGTAAAATATCAGTGATATAAGCTTCTTCTCCGTTCATCTGTTAGACCCTATTTTTCCAGACGGCCAAAAAGATCGTCTAGTATATAAACACTAGAAACCGAAAATATTTTTGTCAATGATGATAACACTGTGTGACCATTTGCGTGACAAATAAGTACAGCTCAGTCCCAGCAAGCGACACTTGGTGAGCGTGAGATTACTAGCTCTCATTGTGCACCAAGCGCTAAACTATGCCCGAGGACAGCTGCACACAAAGTTTTGTTTCGTTGTTATTAGGAAAATGCTGCTACCCATGCCCTGGTTTGTTTCCTCTGTCACATTTTATGACAACCATGACACGATATAGGGTAGTATACATTCTTATACCGTCTCTAGACGGTCAAAATTCGCACACTATTTTTATAAATCAATTAATTCAATCGTTATCAAAATTGTTGAGCGTGTAAAATTCAATATAATATGATAGCATCACATACCTCAGTAGGATTGACGTCTTGCGGCGAGTACATGCTTTCGTACACCGGGTTCGCGAAGTGGTTGCCACCGTTCTGTTCATACAAATCATCACTAAATATAATTAAATTGAAAAAAATAATAATAAACTGAGATGTGTTGTGGCAGCGTGCTATGGAGAGGGCTATGCTCGAGGTTTCTCTGCGTGATAGACTTAAAAATGAGGATATCCGCAGTAGAACTAGAGTAATCGACAAAGCCCAACGGATTAGTAAGTTGAAGTAGCAATTGGTCGGCCATACAGCTCGAAGAACTGACAACCGATGGGGAAGTCGAATGCAAGCAGCTCAGGATCGTGCTTTGTGGCATTCCTTGATGGTAGCATATTTTCAGCACTTGTGCAGGACTATAATTATAATAATGAAATAAAAAGTGATTCATTCTGTCTTTCTAAATCTATCTGGTGACAACCCTGGAAGTAAGTTAAACATGAAACCATGTGACCTTATAGAATGATTCTTTTAGTAACCCAGTAAGCCCTTATAAGAAAGTACTGGCTTTCCTTAAGGCTTTATTGACAACTGATCATCAAACACGAACTCAAAGATTATGAAAAATGTTTAGCGAAAGTAAAAAGTCTTCTAAGTTGTCTAGAGATTAGCTTGATTGACAAGCTTCCCCCTTCAATTTTGAGAAAATTATGGAGATTTGGAGTAGTTAGTCCACCTTGCTACTCTAGTGCGTATTCGGTGCCTTCACATTAAGGGGTGAATGATAATTTCGTCGGTTCTGTTCTGTCGGTACGGTTCGTGAAAATATCTTTATTTTTTTATTCAATAAAGGTGACAAATGAGCGAACAATCCATTCTTTTTTTTAATAATGACCAGAGAGCACACAGTCCATCCAATTGTAACTAAATGATGTAACCCAGAGACATCTATCAAAGCGAACATTTTGATTCTTAACCGAGGGTTGAAGAGTTGTCTTCCCTGAGGGCTAAGATGGAATGCCACGTTTTTGTAAAAAGGGTCTCCAGTTGTCTACACTCACCATACGAAACACAGAATCATTATTCTGATGTATCATCACGTTGGTATATTGTGAGAACGTGGTACTACTCCGGTGGAGCCGACCTACTACTCATCCTGCCATCATAATGGCTGCAGCGTGCAGCAGCAAGTTGGCGTTGTTACACCCCCGTGTCTCGGAAAGTACGTAAAAGCATTGCTCCTGCACCTGATCTTTTTCTGGGTTTGTCGGACTGTCGTCCCATCTGACTACGAGGATTGAGATAGTAGAGATTGTAGTGCACCTGTGCTTGCGCATTTACTTGGTCTCCGTTGAGAGTGGTCACCGTGACCGAAATTTGGTTTGGAAGACATTAGTGTAATATAGTGTAGTGCAGTACAGTATAACGTGATGTAGTGCAGTGTGGTTTGTCGTATAGTGTGTGTAACGTAGTGTAGTATAATATAGTGTGGATTAATGTAGTGTAGGGTGGTGTAGAGTACACTCACAGTGGGTGGTTCAGTTCGAGGCTCGAGCTCATCTTCGCCAGCTAGGTACATGGGATTGTTGATCTCCACGTTGTCCGACAGACGCGCGTGCACGAACGCACCGCTGCGTGACACACAAGGAACAATTCATTATAACTCAAAAATGGCGTCCCGGTAACTTGAATATGGAACAGAAAAGTGTCATAAGCTGGTTACTTCGTAATTGATAAAGATATCAAAAAAAATCATATTAATATTGCTACTAGGTGAAGTCATGCAAAAAGAGATTTTTACAAAATAAATACTATAACACAAGTTCTAGTAATCTTAAATAGAGTTAGTGTAGTGTACTTAAGGTTTGATATTCTTATAGTTATGACAATACAGAAAAAGGTGTAAATGTAACCATTATTTTATTATTTTTAATTAAAAACTTTCAAATTAAAAATGACATTAGTGAATATAAAATTTTTCGTTGAAAAATGAATAGTATACTTTTTTGGTAGTTCGTAATTTAGTTGAAATTACTGAAAAAATCGTGATTATTTTAAAATACTTCGTTGATTAGTAGACTAGTATACTTTTCAGTAATTTGTGATTTATTTCAAATTATCGCAGTCTTATTAGTGATTATTAAATACTACATTGATTAGTAGATGCTTTTTCAATAATAATGTAATTTATTTCAAATTACTGAAATTCCAATTAGTGATTATTAAAAACTTTGTTGATTAGCTATACTAGTACACATTTTCATTAATTTGAAATAAATTACATATTACTGGCATTTTGACATGTATAAGTTGAAATACCAGTAATTTGTAATTTGATTGCATGTGTTAGTGAGATTTCAGCACTTTAAAAAGTGCTGAAATCTTTAGATTGTGACTGAATAACTATAGAGTTACCGTCTCCTCCTGTGCAGCAGGTAGAGCGCAGCGAGCACGAGCAGTAGCAGCGACAGCAGCGTGAGCAGCGCCGCGCTCCAGGCGCCCGCCGCCCCGCCCCTGCCGCCGCCGCCGCCGCCGCCCACACCGCCGCCCAGCGCGGGGCCGGGCGGCGAGCACCGTGCACCATCCAGGCACGCGCAGTACGCCTCGCCCGGACCCAGCGGGTCGTCTGCAAGTCATATTTCCCATCGTACACATCACGATACCTACTTGTTACAAACAAACCAATTTACGAGTAAATAGTGATATTATTTAAAATAATAATAGGGCCGTAGGGTTCTGAAGCAAGACGTTTGTAAAGGCACATCTTGTCACGCCTTATCAATTTCTCTGGTGACCCAAAAGCTGCGAAATACTATGGTCTATGGTATGGAAGTGTAGCGACGCAGCTCAGCTAGTCTTCTTGGCATACTACCAACAGACAAGTTAAGCTTTACATACGACGTAATATTGTAAAATACTTTTTTTCTTTAATTTGTTTAATGTTTCAGTTTATGCTTTAATTTGATTTAATTAACCCTTAAAAATATTATGCATTTACTTAAAAGAAATAAATATGGTACGTGAGGGTAATGTAATACTGTCAATATGGTCACTTTCTAATAATTCAAAAACTACAGCCTTGTTTGCATAGATGACCCTGTGATAGGATTGCTCTTCATCGGTCAATCGAATAATAAAGGGTCAAAAGGGTGATGATTTATCGACGCCATTTGACTCTTGATATTATAGTAAATATTTTAGTCTTTAGTCTGATGTAGTGTAGTTAGTTTTTTTTTTAAAGTAGATTAAGACTGCAACAATTATAAATACAAATTTGAATATATTTTATACCTCAAGATTCGTATTATATACACTACTAGTTTTATGATGTTTTGTGATTCTAGTCACAATTGATTTTGATAATAATAATAATATATTTAAAATGTATTAAATTACGGTAATTTAAATCTTGAAGAATAAAAATGAAAAGTGTTCAACGTTAAATATTAGTGAAAATGTATGTACTGCAGACTTTATATTCTGTACAGCAGTAAATTTAATACTTCTTAATTATGGGCAATGTACCTTATGTTCATTTCATTAAGTCTAATATTTAAAAAAAATATTGTAATAAGCACAAGTTTTTAATATCATAAAAACAACTAAATTATTAATGTAGATGACGCTATCGATAAGAACACGGCAACATCACTATGTTCATACATAAGATAAGTGATCACGAGATATAGTATGGTAGGTATAGTACGAGTATATTGTTCAGTATCACTATCTCTACAGTACATTATAAGACCACTGCTGAGCATAAGCCAATAAATATCAGAAAGTACTTTCATCCATCATTTGCGTGTGTGTTTCATCAGGTGGTCAGTTTATCTCGTGGAGTAGGAAGGGTCACCAAGCACTGCGTTTGCCAGTACGAGGCTGCCACTCAAGAACTATTTCCCTATCGGTTGTCGGTGCTTCGTCTTATGGCCGGTAAATCATTACCACTTCAGCTTACTGATCCGCTAGGTGATGAAAATTACTGTTGTTCTTCTGTGGGTGTCCTCATTGTAGACTTTATACCTCAGAAAAATCCCGAGCATACCTTTTTTCATTGCACTCTTAAGAGTTCTCAAATGCACTCAGATATTATATTATTCTCTCTCAGATATCAGATTATATATCTGAGTGACTGAGCTTCCTCGTATGACCAACAGTGTTTAACCATGTATAAATTGAATATTCAGCAAACGATCGCAGCATATGTCCTATCCCACGTAGCGTATGTGGTGCAGTAAATGCGTGTGTGGTGCAATGCGTGCATGTGTAGTTCAGAAGTGCATAACCACTCAAATGCCCGGGCGACCATAGTCGCCTAAAACTTTTTTCCGGTTGAACGTTAGCGCGACTAGAGCGGCCTCGTGGACTTCTACACTTTAAACGAATTTTTATCAATCGAAAGTTACAAAAAGCTTCATGCATGTTGCACTATATGGCTTCATATTAAAAAACGCGTCTTTTGGTTAGAAAAAGGTCTATGCCAGGTAACAAATACCATTGAAAAAAAAAACAAGCGTTGTGTCAAGTTTTGTGTAGTGGCCAGGTACTGTGAATTCCGCATTTAAAATGTATTTATTGTACTTTTGTACTAATAATATATATGGAAATAATACTCAAAATGCTTTCTATTCATTTATCCAAATGATGTTTTTATATGTGATGAAGTCGACATGCGAAAACTTCGCCTTTGTGTGTCGAAAGTTTTTGTATTATATATTATTTATTGTAATAAAATATTTCTTATAAATATACAAATAATAAATACAAATTTATAATAAATTTGATTAAATATAAATTTAAAAATAATAATAGTTTGCCACATTTTATAGCCGATATAGTATGTCGATATTTTAGATATTTTTGCATAGGAATACTTAATATTTATATAAGGTTATTGGTATTATTGGATAGGGTAGCTCATGTTTATTAATTATTGTACAATAAATACACAGAAATAAAATGATTCTGAGATATTATCAAAGAAAATAAAAAAAAAATTACGCTTTTTCAGCTAAATTTCTATAATTAATCATTTTTAGCCGTTGTACTTCAATTGGGTAAATTATTATTAAAGTCATTAAATTCTGCATTTCATTAGCTTTATGCGTATGACTTTTATTCAGATAAAGGTAAAAAACTTTCTCTGTGGTAACCGTTTTAGTCGAACTGGTCGCTATCGGACCGTTAAAAAAGTCGCAACGAGCGGCGCGGGGCGTTAGAGGCTATTGTCGCCGCGTCGCTCAGACGTTCAAGTGGCTAGTGGTGCAGTACGTCCGTGTGTAATGCAATACGTGCTTGTGCGGTGCGTGCTGGCTTGCAGTGCGTACGTACCGTCCGGACACCAGGCGCAGAGTGCTGGCGGCGGGAAGGCAAGCGCTGCGCACGCCGTGTCGGGTCGTGACCCACGTAGCGCGCGCAGCGCGCGCCGCCGCGCGCGGGTGTGCTGGCTTGCAGTGCGTACGTACCGTCCGGACGCCAGGCGCAGAGTGCTGGCGGCGGGCAGGCGAGCGCTGCACACGCCGTGTCGTGATCCACGTAGCGCTCGCCGCCGCGCCCGTGTGTGCTGGCTTGCAGTGCGTACGTACCGTCCGGACGCCAGGCGCAGAGTGCTGGCGACGGGCAGGCGAACGCTGCGCACGCTGTGTCGTGTCCCACGTAGCGATCGTAGCGCGCGCCAACGTGCCCGGGTGTGCTGGCTTGCAGTGCGTACGTACCGTCCGGACGCCAGGCGCAGAGTGCTGGCGGCGGGCAGGCGAGCGCTGCCCACGCTGTGTCATGTCCCACGTAGCGTTCGCAGCGCGCGCCGCCGCGCCCGGGTGTGCTGGCTTGCAATGCGTACGTACCGTCCGGACGCCAGGCGCAGAGGGCTGGCGGCGGGCAGGCGCGCGCTGCGCACGCTGTGTCATGTCCCACGTAGCGCTCGCAGCGCGCGCCGCCGCGCCCGGGTGTGCACGCGCACACTCCTCCCGCCGCCGCCACACACCGTCCGCCATGTAGACACTGTCCCGCGCACCGTAGAGTCGCCTCTGCAAACCACACTTATATCAATTTTGAATTTGTGAATGGCGATTATTTGACATTTGAGGAAGAAAGAAACAAAAACTGAATGAAAAATGATTTAAGACATATGTATTTCCTCTACTTTAGTTCAATTACTTGATACAATTTGTACGTATGTATGGTATGATTTTTTATATAATGTGATAAGCGAGCCCTCAGTTCAAACTGCTGGTAAGTGAATGCTGTGTTTATCTTCAATTATGAAACAAAATACATAGGTGTTTTACCCCACGAAGTTGCCTTTTTTGAAAAAGATACCAATTTTACTGAAGTAAAAATGGTCTCCGGTTGTCTACAGTCAAGCATAAGAAACAAAGAAGAATTAAGCATGTATTTTACGATAATTGATAGATCAGGCGTTCCTTTGCGGAAATCCATTATAATAAAAATAAAAATATAAATTTCTTTGCAACCTTCCGCTAAATAAATTATTTAGCGGAAGGTTGCAAAGAAATTTATATTTTTATTCCTGTATTTTACGTTGGTATTCTGTGTGAGAGAGTGGTCCTTCCCCGGTCGAACCAACTCATTCGTGCTACAACCATAGTAGCTATAGCATGACTTTACCACGCATGTATGTTTACCTGTGATTGTATTTGAATAGTTACGGTAGAAAGAAGATGAATGAAAAATGCTCACCCAACTCGTATACATATTACTACGAACATAAGTTTCAAATACGATTACTGTGACCTTGTTTAATTTAACTGATTTTTATCAACACCCAAAATCTTTTTTAAACACTCACGCCTGTCACCCAGAGGGGTAGGCAGAGACTACAGACTTCCATTTGGCACGATCCTGACACACCTCTCTTGCCTCCTTCACATCCATACACCTACGCATACATGCTCGTCGGTTAAGGGTACTCCTAATTTGGCCCGTTTTCAATAAATCGCCAATTTGGTCGATAAATTTTCGCTTAGGACGTCCCTTTCCGACTCTGCCATTCACTTCTGCACCATAAATTTTCTTTGTCACTCTTTCCTCATTAATTCTTTCCACATGACCAAACCACCGAAGCATTCCTTTCTTAATCCTGGTCACAACATCATCTTGCAAACCACACTCTTCTCTTATTACACAATTTCTTACCCTGTCATTCAGATTCAGCCCTAACATACTCCTAAACGACCGCATTTCTACTGCGTTTATTCCACTCTCGTGCTTCTTCTGCCACACCCAACTTTCACTACCATACGTTAAAGTAGGGACCAACACAGCATTGTGAATTGCCATACACAATGTCACTAACACTTCACTTTACATGGTACACATCTAACGTATTAACAGATATGTTGTCTACTCGTCAGTTACAATTCAACTGCCCGATGTCCCCAAAGCGGGAGGTATTTATACACTAGTAACGATGACTCATTAGACGATTGTCTATACACTACATCTCTTCCTTTTTCTTAATATTTTTTATTTCTGTTTCTATGCATGATTAATAGTTGATTTTTCTGTTACAAAAATAGTTTAAACTAGTCTAATAGTTAATCATTCTAATTTCATCAGTATTTATTACTTCTTGATCCAATTTGGGTAAACTTTCTTCTTGTTCATCATTAACTACTCTCCACTCTCTTTCAATTTTTTTTAAGTGAACAACATTTCGTTGAAACTGTTCACTTGTATCATTATTGCGAATCACTACGTTTCCAGTATTGTTAGTAGTTTTTACAACAGTATGTATGGCTGGAGAAAAGCTTGGTGTAAGCTTATTTTCTTTGGCGAAATTTTTTACAACTACCTTATCGCCTTCAATTCGCTTGCGGTCACTGTAAGTTTTTCCTGCTTCTTTTTGCAACGCGTCTCTGTCTCTAACTTCTGAATCTACTTGTTTATTTTCAATATCTGTGTATGATGGAATTTTATCCCGAAATTGTCCTTTGTAGAATAGTTCTGATGGAGTTTTACCAGTTACTGAGTAAAATAAATCTTCTTTCCAATTTTTTCTTTCAATCTGACCGAGTTTTAAACGTTTTAGGATACTTCGGTTTTGTCTTTCCACCTCTCCATTCTGTTGGGGCCAATATGGTATTGTGTTGTGAAGAGTTATACCACATTCCTGCAGGTAATTTTTAAACTCTTGACTAACAAATTGCCTGCCATTATCTGCGGTGATGGTAACTGGATAACCAAGCCGTGAAAATATCTCTTTCAATAACCTAATAATATCATGTGAAGTTACACTTTTGTCACTTTTACTTCCTTGTAACGACTGTATTACAGTCGTTATCAACGATTACTAACAGGAAATCTCCAGAGGGTAAAGGTCCCATTAAATCGATAGCTACATCAGTCCATGGTTCGACTGGTAGTTCACGACGCTTCATTGGATTGTGCAGATACTAATGTGCAACTTTTACAGTTTCTTACGAATGTTTCTGCATCTTTATTAATTTTAGGCCCCCATAGTTTTGTCCGTAACCTTTGTTTCATACAAACAATACCAGGGTGACCCTCGTGAGCAGCTTGCAATACTTGCCGTCTTAATTTTCTGGAATAACAATTTTTGTACCTCTAAGTAAAATATTATTTTGATTTGGAAACAAAGCTCCGATTCAAATACTTTGTAATTTGCGATGTTAGGATCCCAGGTACACGAGTATAAGCCTTGCCTTACTTTAGCGATATCGGAATACTGCTTGGAAAATTGTTCAATATCGTTGAGAATTGTTCAATATCGTTTAGAAGTACAAAGTATTGAAAGGGGGTTAGCTATATTCGATTTACCTGGTCGGTACACTATTTTGTTTACTTTGAAAATACACTTATCGTTGTTTAACAGAACATTGTTCTCTTTCAAAATATTTAGTGTCCGTTGTAATCGTTGATCATGCTCTGCCTCATTTGATCCACAATATTGTCAATAAAATTTACTGTACCTTCACACTGTATAAGAGTACGTTCCATGATTTTTTGAAACATTTCTGGGGCAAAGAAAATACCAAACATAAGTCTCTTGTATCTAAATAACCCTTTGCTAGTTATAAATGTTGTGATGTATCGGGTATCCGGATGGATTTCGATTAGGTGAAAAGCGTTTTTAATGTCGAGGCGAATAATTTCGCATCTTGAAAATGTGGTAGCAGCTGGTCCATTGTTGGTAGTGGATGATTTTCGCGAATTATTGCTGCGTTAGCTCTTCGCATATCGATATAGATCCTAATATCCCCATTGTCTTTTAAAACAAGCACAATAGGTGAAACCCATTTTGACGGCTTAGATACTTCTTCGATAATATCGAGATCCAATAATTCTTGATTTTTTTTATTAACTTTTGTTTCTAGGGGTTAGGTATTCTCCTGTAAGGCTGACGTACTGGCGTTATTTTCTCATCAATAGGTATCTTGACAACAACACCTTTAAATTTTTGGAAATGCTACTATATTTTTATGTGATGTGGACTCGACGGCGTTTACACTAACACCTAATCGCAGAACGCCCAATGCTAAGGACGTTACTTTCCCCAAAATATCTTTAGTGCCGTTTTTTATCACATAGAAAACAGCAACCTCAATTTTGTCACTGACTTGGACATGACTTTTAAACGATCCTAAAATAATTAGTGGCTTAGTGCTACCATAGGCGTAAAATGTTTTATCCGGTGATCTATCCATGTCAAAAACTATATTCCATTAAAATTTTTATTCGTCTTTAGTTTTCTCCACGTAACGTCTTGACACCACCTACCCAATAATTAATATTAGTGTCGTCATCTATATGAAAAACTCGATTTCTTCCTTTTCCTCCCTCCTTGATTTTTTTTGTGGCGGTAGAGTCTTTTGAACTTGAAAATTGTCTTTTAGGTGGCCTTCCTCTCTACTGATTGAGGCATATGCTTAAAGCTCCCACACCTAGTACACGATTTGTTAAACATCTTTCTTCTATTGTCAATTTTATTCACGGTACTGCTATTACATGCGGAGTTGTGAGTAAATTCATCCATCTGTCTATTCACACTTTCTAAAGTATTTGCTTCTATTATGATATCCTCTAATATTTTGTCACGTCCTTTTAAATTTTTTTTTTACGAAGCTCACCCGAGTAACACTTTTCTGTAATTTGATCGATAATGCTTTCGTCCTTATTTGCAAAACCACATTCATCAATCTATTTAAAAATTTCTCAAAATTTTCTCCAGATTCCTGTTTCATTAGCCGAAATAAGTGTCTCTCTTATACTTTACTTTGTTTTGGAGCAAAGTACTCGTCTAACTTTTCAATAGCTATAACATGAACATCCTTCGTTGGATCATCTGTACTGCTAACATGGGTTCCTGGTATATTATAGTATATTTCTTGGAGACTAAGGCCACCCGTGTGTAATAATGTAGCTCTTTTTTTGCGGGTAGTTCAATATTTGCAGCTTCTAGATAAATGTCTAATCCTCGCTTCCACTTCTCCCATTTTGCGCCAACACCATGAGAATCCCCATCACAATCAAATGATTCTAGAGGGGGTGTGGGGGAGTGATGATATTTTTTTTAATATACAAGCAGATAATAACCAATATTTGTGTTACTTTTTTTAATAAAACGGGGCACATTTCGAATGCACGCAGCATGACAACTAAAACAGTGACCAATATATCTTTTAATTACGTGTGTCTATTATTAGACCGTCACGCAATTACATTCTCACGACATCTCAGCCTTTGATAATTTAAACCATTTTCTGGGACCTAAAGCATGTCCATGACTGGACCTTCGCTTTAGTAAAACTTGGACCGTCACCAATAAGTGTCCATGCTCCTGGACCATCTCATTGGGATGTCCATTTGATTTTAACAAAGATAAATCACGGCATAAACAATCAAACTGCTATTGCTAGTAGTCCCTAACTTTAGGCTCCGCATTCTAAGCTATCTTTTAAAAGAGTATACATCAAATCCTTACATAAAACTTTTCCAGTTTACATAAAAACATTTGTAATTACTTACAGTAATTTTTCCTCGTTGC